TGGAGTTTGATGGCATCCCTTGCCATGCTTCCAATGTTCCTTGAAAGGTAGTGGGTTCTGTCTGCAGCCCACACTCAGCACTTACCCTGACTGAACTCTACATATTCGCTTTCTCTGTTATGTTAATATCTGTTTTCCCAAATCTGTCTGTCTTCCTCTCTCTCTTTCTCTGGCTAACAATGATGATATCTTTTCATCTTTGAATTTCATAAGCTCTTAATAAGTATTAGTTGTAAATTGTCAAACCTTTAACCTTTTATAATCTTTAAAAAGTAGACATGCTTTAAACAAAGGCAAAGAAAATGAGAAAAATCAAATTATGACAAGACAGGTCTCTCTCTCTCTCTCTGATTCCATAATCTGAAACGCTGAAATACAATACAACTCAAAAGAGATGGAAAATTGTAAAAATGATAATTCTGATCACATAGTCATAAATAATTGTAAATGTGTAAGAGAAGAGGAAATGACAGCTAGGATTGAGATATCTGGGTTTTAGTACTAACTATAAATATCATGTAAAACCTTAGGCTATGCCATGCATTCTAGGACTTTCCTTCCTCATGTGAAAATTAAGAGCCAAAATCTTTCAGGTCTTTAAATCTTTTCTAGCTCAAATGTTCTATGATTTATTCTAATCCAACCCACAGGGTTGCTACTCAACTTCTCTTTTGTTTTTGTTTTGTCTACTAAGTGGAATGCTTTGTTTTGGAAAAGTTAAAACATACACTGCTGAGAGAAAATGGAAACTTGAATTAGAACAGAAGGTTATAAGAAAACTTAACTGTGTTAAAATCTCCAGTCCCAGATGGGCAACTATCTTTATTTTCAGAAAAAGGGAAAAATGTGATCTCTGCAAACAACAGAGGAATATGCTCGAGACACCTTACAAAGCAAAGTTTGTGTGAGCACTTAGAAAGGAAAAGTGATCACTGGGGACCTCCAGGGGTCTGCAATAGCAAACCACACAATTCCACACAGACTGGGCCTGAGTAAAGAGAAGTTGGATTAACACAAGGTTCCTGGAGGCTCTGGATTGACTTGATATTGTACCGGATGATGAACTAATGGTATGATCCATTTATTAGAAATCTTAAAACATTCTCAGGTATATTAATAAAAATACATTGACAGACCAACAGAAGGAGGAATCCTGCAATTATCTGAACTGAGCCCTTTATTTTGAGTAGTGTGGTCTACTCTAGGTGCAATATTTTGAAATAGATATATTAAACTTAAGAATATTGATTAATTCTGAGGCATATAGCAGGGGAGGAGAAGAAAGGTCTAGAAATAGAGGAGGGAAGAGCACAGGCACTATGGTGATAGTTCACAGGTGCTGAGGGGTTGGAGAAATACAGGAATTACATCTGAGGGGAGAATCCAAATACTGTACAAAAATGAACAACAATGTATAAAAATAAATCAATTTAATTATATAAAGAATATTGATCAGTAGGGGGCATGAAAATTAGAAATCAGGTCATCTGAAGAATGATTGAGATAATAGAATATTTAGCCTGGGGAAGGAGATTAAGCTACTTATAAATTCTTGAAGTGTTAGACAGAGATACTATATACTTGATATGTTTGCCAAACTACAACAGTTACACAGAGGTTACAAAGTTATAGTTTTACCTCACCATAACCAATGGCTTTCTAACAAGTGAAGCCTACCTCATCATAACACTGGAAAACCCATGCCAATGAAGTGTTCAAGGGAAAGCTTCAAGTCCACATCGAGTATCATATAAAAAGAGCTCATGTAGTAAGGTGGTGATTGGACCAGATAATCTTTAGAGTTCTGCCAAGTATAATTTATAAATCCAAATTAGTTGTTTAGAAATTAGGGTCATTTTTTCATACAATTAATTTTATATATGTGAACATTTGGATCCAGGGTCAAAATTTTTTTTCAATCAGTAATGGTTTTGAATTCAATTAAAAACACATTCTTGAGGCTAGGGGATATTTGAAGGTATATGAAAGAGAAGAAAAAGAGGATCATTTACTTTCCCTTTCCTGGGGAAAAATCAAGCATGATGCCATATTATGAAAGAATTGAGGAAACATTCCGAAATCTGGCATACTTCAGGGGTGGCTTAGGAAGAACTCAATGCCTCAAAGGAATCTCCTTGTGATGGCCTCTCACTTGCAAACTCTATGGTCATGGGTGGTTTCTTCTGTGAAATGGTACTAATATTTCTAACAATACAAAGAAATATAAATAAAATAATTTATGGCTTGTAGGGAGCAAATGAAAGAATGGATAGAAAATGCATAGAAGAGTACTGGACATGTACCATCTACTCAGTAGATAGAAGGGGCCCCTCTATGTAGCCTCCTTCCACTTGTCAAAGAAATTCCACCTATATTATCTCATGTGATTCTTATAATTCCAGGTGGTAGTCAAGGTAGATATAATATTCGTATTTTGTGGAGTATCAAATGATGCTTGGAATGAATGATCAGTTTTCCTGAAATAGTATCATTTAACTTCTCATTTAATTAATATTTCTAGTGACAAAGAACATATTGTTCTACTACAGAACAACAGAAACCATCATGAAAAGTAAGGAAGAGAATGAATATGTAAGAGTTTTCAAAATCTGCACTCAAGACATGTTGTACCCATCAAGTGGCAAAGATTATAAACATGATGCATTAGCTGTCAAAAGTGTAGTAAGCTCCACCCTCTTTGATAAATTGGCGGTGAGATGCAAGTTGGTCTAATCTTTTGGAAAAGCAATTCAGTTATATGTGTTGAAAACTTCAAACATACTCATCACTTGTTCTCATAATTCCCTAAGAATCTATTTTAAGAAAATCAGAAATGGTGTGAAAGTTTGGTGCTTAAAGGCACTCAACAGAATATAGTTTATCATAACAAAAAACATTCAAAATGGCCCACAAAGGGGAAACAGGAGAATAAATTGTAAAGATAAAGAGTGTTGCAGAGATAAGGAGCCAGATGATAGCATCAAACCCACTGATTAAAATTTTTAGGGTCCTCCCTGGTGGTGCAAGGGGTTAAGACGCAGCTTTATGAGGCTAACTGTAGCCACTGCAGCATGAGTTCAATCCCCAGCCAGGGAGCAACCCACATGGCGCAGCAGACCTCTCCTGACTCACCTGCTGCTCCCCTCAGCAGTGTAGTTCAGTCAGTCTGCCTGTTCTGCTCCCCACTCTGTCTCTGGTGAATCCTCTCACCCCCTCCACACCTCTGGCCTTTGCCCCAGTTCTTGTATGCATAAATAAATAAATCTTTAAAAAAAATAAAATTCCTTACCTACTATTTACTAATTATGTCAGTGGGTGAGTTATTCAGGCTACCTGATTCTTATCAACTTAACTAAAAATGAGACAATTTGTATTGTATGAAGCTGTTATGAGAATCATATATGATATTGAATGGATATTGTTTAGGATGACTGGCACAGAGTAAGCACTTAAAATCTGTCATTACGAACATTATTATAGAGTAAGTATGCCCTTAATAAATACTCACTACGTGCCAAGTATTTAACATTTTCTTTTTTTCTTTCTTTTTTAAAGATTGATTTATTTATACAAGAACCAGGCCAGAAGTGCAGGAGGGTGAGAGGATTCACCAGAGACAGAGTGGGGAACAGAACAGGCAGACTGACAAAATACACTGCTGAGGGGAGCAGCGGGCAAGACAGGAGAGGTCTGCTATGGGTCCCCATGTGGGTTTCTCCCCGGCCGGCCAGGATTGAACCCGTGCTGCAGAGACTGCAGACAGCTTCACAGTGCGGCGCTCAACCACCTGTGCCACCAGGGATGCCCAACATTTTCTTTTAAAATTCTCAGAATAACTCTTTGTCGTAGGTGTTAATATCCTCACTGTACAAATGAGGAAGCTGAGGCATAGATTGGCAAGTAGCTTTGCCAATTTCATACAGATGGTCAGGTAGGGTGCTGGGACTTGAGCCCAGGCAGGCAGACCCTGGGACCCATCAAGCTCTAACCAAGTTCTAATAAAGTATATATTGCCCCCTGTGCTATGACAAATTTTGTGTCTGTACTTGTGCACACCTGTGTGCCTATGTACAAACCCATGTAATTAGATTATATGATTTACATAATGTTTAGAAACCATTTCATTATTTAAAATCATTTTTAAAGGCAGAATTCCATTGTTTTGGCAGCAAGCACAGGGCAGGTTCTCTAGTGGTTTGGACACATGGATAAAGAAGAGTTCTAGAGACCTCAGTGGCTTTTTTCAGGCTTTAATTCTCTCTATGCCAGTTGTTGCAGGGCAAGCTCCCAGTTGGCAAAACATGGAGGCCTTCAGATGGGGGTTGGCCAGGAGGTTGGCCTCCCAGCCCCCAGAGAATCTGACTGCTTTTCTCTTGGGGCTCTTTGGCATCACCTTGTGATCCTACCTTTCTGTAGTCACTCGTCTCATAGCCATTCTGCTTTAGTTGTCCTTTCTCTCTGAGTGACTCGACCCTCATAGCCTCAGCCTCCAGGCCCAAGTGTGCCCACTTATGCTTGCCCACAACACACCCCAGGGCCCACCATTAGGCATGCATGCCCCACGCCCACGCTCCCAAGCGCCTTATGCATTCAAGGCTGCAGGTGATAGCCACAGAGGCCAGCCCAATTCACTTATCCTACAACCACATTTATATATGATATGAGTTCTGTGTAAAATGCAAATGAAAGGGATTGAGTATTGACATGGGTGCCTCTGTGTGGTGGTATTAAAGGCAAATTTTAGTCTTGAGATTTATGGATATTTCTGTGCTTTCTGTTTACCTGAAAACACATGCTATTTTATAAACTGGAAAATTAAAGAATAGATATCTAAGTAAAATGAATCCAAGGAAGATGTAAGGAGAATAAGTGTTTTATAGATAAGTTCTCTTCCTCTAATTCTAGCAGTAGACCATACCAGATATCCTGGATAAACTTCTTTCTGAAAATGGCTAAACCTGTGCGTAAAAATTACAAAGCAATGGGATATAAACACTTACATGTGTCACAAATGGTGTGTGTGTAGGAAAGGTGGAGGTGGGAACTGGCTGTGGCTGGATAATGACTTCAGCTGGAACTGCTGCATCCTCATCTTCACCCAGCTTCTGGGCACAGCGACCGATGTCTGCATTCTTGAAGGATACAGGTTGTGCGAAGTCCATGGGGCTAATGAAATATAATTAAAACTAAGGTTTCACACTTCTTTTATTTTTCATTGTCTTTTTTCCTTACATGTAAATCAAGTCCCCCTGTCCCCCACCCCCTTTAAAGCTCATAATGCAATTTTCTAAATCTGACTGGAAGATATTCATTATTTCCTTTCTCCATGGGTTTAGGTAGTATAGGTAGCAACAGTGCTACTCAGACAAAAAAGAAATTGACTTACACAGAGTTAATAACAAGATTCCATATGCAGCCTTCAAAAGGAGGAATGTTTCTGAGTGGGGAAGGTTGGAATTCTGGTGGAGCACCCCCAACGAAAAGCTTTTTAACTTCAATGGGCTGTTCTACCGACAGGTTTTGCATATGCCTTCTGTCTTCATCCACTTGAACAGTAAAGATGCTGATAAAACATTAAAAACAAACAAGTATAGACCATAATGTCCAATACATTGGAAATCATATTGCTTCCTGTCACCCCTCTCCCCTCCCTCTTGTAGTTTTTAAGTGAGTCAATATTTGGTGATTAGGAATTCTACACGAAAACAAACAATATAGTTTCTCTGGAGCTTGTCCATCTGCCTCCCTCATTAACTCTCCCTGAGAACTTACTGAAATGAGGCAATGGTGTAGCTTCAACATTAGCCTCTGGTGGCGTTGACAATAGTGGCCTACAGTCCAACACATGAGTGTATAGAGCAGAGGCTTCTGCACTGTGTAGTAATGTCTAATCATATAAGGCTCAGTGGGTTTAGCACAGCATGGGGTCACATTTTGTTTGGCTCTTTATTTCTTGGTTTGCGCTATTATCTTCTTGCTAGGGGACAAACTGTACTCCTGAGAGCTTAGATTGCAGGAATCAATAGCATACACAGGACATTTTATAAAGAATGTAGCAACTGGTTTTGAATAGAAGAGGCAAGCAAGAACACCAGGCTAATTGTCCCTTGCAATGGTTTTCCTTGGTGACTGTTTCATTACTTTCCTTAATTTGCTTATGAGACATAATTCACACACTACTAATTGAGAACCTCATGCTACTTATTCACAACAATCCTTGGGTCCTAGGGCAAAGAATCAGAAGGAGACAGAGTTTTGATGAGGAAAAGGACCAAAGGCATTTTCTCTTTTGTTACAGAAACAGGTTTTAAGTTTCAGTCCTAAAATTCAGCATGGATGCTATTAGTCATTAGTATTAATCACTAGCCTGAGGATCATGACTGGATTACTGAAAATTTCCTTCATATCTGGTGAGAAAACCAAAGTATTTAGGTAGAAAAGTCTGTCCTGAAATGCCATCTTACTTGATTTCACAAAAGAGAAAAAAAAAACCACACATCTAATTAGAAACGATAAATCAGGGCACAGATGCTGTGAAATAGCACTGAGTAATCTGTCTGCTTTGGGACAACTGAAATATTAGAGAATGGACAAAAAAAAACCCTGATTTTGCTGTGGTTCAAAATGTCATTGTTCAAGGATGTGGAGGGGGTAGATTGGATTTCATTTCAAAGGGAAAATAAGAGGAAATGGCATATTGTTATTTTATGTCTCTGGAAGAGCATGTTGGGAAAAAATTAGGAGGTTAAACCTCATTGCTAAAGATGTTTGTGGTTATATGAGACATTTAGAAAACCACTTACTTCTGGGTAAGTGACTCACTGAGAAGTCCCTCCCACCCACATCATTTTTTTTTTCTTTTGCCAAAAGCAACCGTCTTTCTAATGTGATATAGCAGTGGGGTATATCTTAAGGGTTTTAGTGAGGGATTTAAGCAGCCATTAAAGATTGTCCAAGGAGAGCAAGTCTCTGCTCTTTGATTAGAGTTTTTAAAGAGCCAAAGGCTCCCTTCCTTCTTAAATAGACTCTTGTCTGATTCTGCTCCAATGATCACATACTACAGGTCCTTTCTTACTAGATCGTAAGATGTAGATGTAGAATGAACATGAGCTTTCAGAAGGAAGAGACTGGAATTAAGTATTAGTGTGGAAGCTTACTAGCTGTGTGATTTGGGGCAAGTTATTTAATCTCGCTTTTTTTATTTAGTCTCATTTCATTTATTTATAAAACTAGGATAAAAATGCCTAGAATATCTGTGCCCTGATTTATCATTTCTAGTTAGATGTGTGGTTTTTTTATCCTTTGTGAAATCAAGTAAGATGGCATTTTAGGACAGACTTTTCCACCTAAATACTTTGGTTTTCTCACCAGATATGAAGAAAGTTTTCAGTGATCCATTCATGATCCTCAGGCTAGTGATTAATACTCATTGTTGATGGGTTCTTGGAAACTGCTTCTTTAAGAAAAACCACATATAAAAAAACCAGATCCTACAATAATGCACTTTCTTTCAACACTGCCCGGGATATCCTTTTTCTCAACATTACAAAAAAATGATGTTGAGTAATGTGACTATTCAAGGATCTACTGTTCTTCAAACATTGGAAAACATTAAGTAGGGGATTTCACTGAGCTGCAATACTTAAATAAGGGCATTGCTAAAAGACTACAGCTAAATCTTGTTTTATTTTTCATATGGGAACATCAAATCTAGATTGTTTAGTTCTTTTTTAAAGAGGGACACCACCAACATGTTTATTATGGCTCTGCCATAAGCATCCACTTAATAGTTCTTTACTTTTACATCCTACTATGTGGAAAAAAGCACTGTAATAACATGACCTTACTATTAATTGGAAAAGGTCACCTGTATTTTCTTATAATTTTGATGGTTAACTCCTGGAGTCTCATTATTAAATATTTTATTAATTACATTCTATTTCTTGTTTGTTTGCAATATCGGTCTAATTTTTTTTTCAAACTACCACCAATGGAATTGTATATGTAGAAGAAGCTACTAGGAGAAGTAAATGCTCTGATGTTTGTAATTTTCATGAAAAACAGAATCTGAAATTTTTTGGTTTCAACATATTTGAATAGTAAGAAGAAAATATTTCCAAATCATGAAGCCCAAATTATTGTAGTGTCCATCCTGGAAACCCCAAATTATTCCTGAAATATCTTATGCAACTTCCTGGTATTGAGTCTAATTCTGTAAATGTGTGATGCTTGTTCTCAGAGAAGACACTCTCCTGAACAATCAACTCTGGGTTCTTGGGGTTTAGTGGTTTTGTCTAATTAGAATTACGACCACGTACACCAACGTGGTCTTCTACTTCAGAAGAATCAGGGCAAAGAAAATAATGAAGGCAGGGGTCCTGGAGAAACATGGAATTAGATTATCAAAATGACTAAAGTGAGATTTTTGTACAGGAAGTGGTAGAAAAGGAGAGAGAATTAAGGAGGGGTAAGGAAAGCTGGGGGTGGCAAAAGATGGGCAAGAGCAAACTTAAAAATTCAGCTCCTCAATTTGGTAAAAATCCCAAGTGTTTGTGAGGTATACTAAAATCACCATCTTATCCAGGGTTTTAGAAATAATGTTCATTGATGTTAATGGCCAAAAGATGCTGAGAGAAAACAATCATTTTCATCTAATAAATGAGAATCATAATCAACATAAAAATATCTTTGATATCTCAAAGAGGGCAGGGATGTGTGGCTGGTGGGCACAGATGGAGGTGGTAAAGCCTTAAACCTCTGGCTTCAAATCCTGACTGGTATTTACTAGCTGTGTGATTATGGACAGGTTAGTTGCTATTTCCTGTGATGAAAGGCTATTAATACAGAACACACAGATGTGCAGAGCAATTAAAGGATATAAACCTTATCTAGAGTTTAACCCAGAGCATATTATAGAAAAAGTCTATGATGCTTCAAAAAAAGTTTCTAGGTGAAGTTCTTAGGGTTATTAGCTATCTCTGATCAATTAGTTAATCACTTGTTTAAAGAATAGGTGATTATTTTTTGACCTTAAAGTGCTGAATGAGACATTATTGTAACAAATGTGTTCTTCCTTTGCCACATAGTTCAGTGACTACACACTAATATGTCCCATATATTATCCTTCAATTAGCAGTGAGTGGCAAACTGTTTGTTTATACGGCCAATTAACTGAATGGCCAGTTTTCAGTGATGTAGGATAAGCTGAGCTTAATCAAATAAAGGTTGGATTGATGGCCAACAGCTGTGAATTTGGCGTAATAAAATGCCTTTCTTGGAGAAACACCTGTTAAAAGGGCACCTTAGCACAACAACATAATGCACTTGGGAACATCAGAACCCTCTCTCTGCAAGATATATTTTGGATGATTATGGTCAACTATATTTCTCAATAGATATTTGCTTATTGAAAGCCTTTGAAATTTAAAGATTAAAAATCCTTCCCACATTGAGGAGGATTAAAGATTGACAAATGAGAAAATTCATTTTGCATTTCTCAGAGACCATGACTACAATATTTGGCTATTAAGTTTTCAGTTTGTTCAAATGTTGATTCCTCATTTGTCTTGATTATGGTTTCTAAACATCTCAGATGCTGGGCAAGCATATTTAGTATCAATTCAGCCCACAATTAATGCTTTATGCAATAAAAAAATGAGCCAAGCTAGAGTAAAAATACATTTTTACTGTTTCTGTATTTAAATATATTCTGAGTTTTTTTAAGTTTCATTAAATTTGATTTCCAGTTATTTTCAATGTCCTCGGTATAATAAATGGATTGATGGAGATTTTGAAGATCTAAAGTCTCTGGGCTTCTGTTTTCCTTAATTGTCCTAAACTAATTACCTCTCTGAGTTGTCATACAACATTTCGATGAAAAATACAGATGACTTTCTGAATAGATCAGGTATAAAATACTGAAACATTCTGAAGAAATGAGAAATCAATTTATGTTACACTTTTACGCTGTTACAGTCAATTTCCTGGCTCAGGATTGGGAGGCAAGCACGCTCAAGGATCTGTAGGGAGGCAGCCTCTGGGCACTGATGGCAGAAGAGCAACCTTTTCCTTTCTCGCTCAACTTTGTTCCCTCAAGAAACCACTCTGCAGGGACCATGAACACTTGGGAGGGGGCGGAGAAAGTGTGCATATAGCAGTGGTCAGTAGGTCCTCGCTGCTGCCATGCTTCTGTGTCTGTGTCAAGTTTCTAAGCAGCTGCCATAACTGCTTTGGAGCCTGAAAGAAATAGCAACAGCCAAAGGCTGCTGGCTCCAGCTGAGCTATTCTGTGCCTTTCACTGTATGCATACCTTATTTGAGAAGAGAATATCTGAGAGGTGCAGAAGGAGGGATTTTTTCTTATCTATAGTTTCAGAAGATGCATTTGGTCTTTCCAAAGGTAGAGGGAACTTCACAGAATAAAAACGTTAAAGAGTAGAACTCCTAGGGCCTCTCTGGTGGCACAAGGTGTTAAGCACCACACTAGGAAGCAATCTGCAGCCTCTGCAGCACGAGTTCAATCTCTGGCCGGCCAGGGAGCAACCCCCATGGCACAGCAGACCTCTCCTGACTTGCCTGCTGCTCCCCTCAGCAGTGTATTTCTGTCAGTTTGCCTGTTCTGCTCCCCACTGTCTCTGATGAATCCTCTCAACCCCCGCACCTCTGGCCTGTACCCCAGCTTTTGTATGCATAAATAAATAAATCTTAAAAAAAAAAAGGAGTAGAACTCCTAAAGACCAAGGTAGATAGGGTTCCTGAAGTATGAAAATGTAAAGAGGAAATTAAGCTTCTTGATAGTTTTATGCAATATATTGTGTCCAGCCACATAAATGTTGTCAGAGACTAATGCCAGTAAAGGAAGTTCACGTTAGTAACAACAGCAAGTCCTCTACAGTTGTTACCCTCTAGTTCTCTCGACATGAACAGAATGTTCTCTCCCGTCGTGAAACAGACTCTGTTCTGGTTTGATGACAATTTTCCTCATTGTTCGTGTCCCTGTGGAGAGATGCACTTCCAGGCGGCCCTTGTTCAGGAATATCGCATAATATGCCTGCAAAAGCAAGTGGTGGTTGAGGATTAAATTGGAGTCTCATTTATGATTTTGAGTTTGAGGGTCTCTGACAGAACTGCAGATTCATCCATTCTGAGATCTTACCTGGGAAGTCAAGATTCACTAATTTCTCAAAAGGCATATTAAAAGCAGCTGGACATATCTCTTTAATTATTTATCACCTTTTGCTTGTCAGATGATGTGAAAAGTGGATGTAGTAATATAGCAGGCAGTCTCCCAAAGTGAATGTGTGATGCCAAAAGTAACAGCTGTGCTTATGGAGGGGCTCTACCTCACTGAGGCTCTCAGGAAACAAAGGGTGTCAACCAGTACCACTCCCTTATATTCACAAATGGACCCCTAGCTTCTAGAAGTCAGGCCTGACTCTCAACCTCATGGCATTTTGAATGTTTAGATTTCAATTTGTTCTCTGAGCTGGAGGAATAGATTGCTATCACCAACACATAACTTGTCTCCCACATTTAGAAAGAAGGAAGACAGTTTTGCATCCACAAACATGCCTGCTTTCTTCTTCTTACTGTTACTATAGCAACTAGTATGGTTTTGCGATCAGATTAGGAACCCCAGGGAACTTGAAGGCAGTCTGTCTCCCCAAAAGCCAGGTGTGTGCCCCCTTCCTGTGGACCATGGGGCACCTGCATCATTAGGATCATTCAGTCCTCCAGAGTCACCTGTGGTGGTGAAGATATTTTCAATCAAATATCACCATGTCTCCAGTAATTGACTAAATTGTCTTTGTAGCAGCAAGTCCAAAACAAAATGTCTAGAGGATTTGTATGAGTATTCACCATCCATTAAAGGACTAATAGAAAACTATTAAATTAAAAATTTCTTAGCTGGGGCCTCCTCTGGTGGCGCAGGCGGTTGAGCGCCTCACTGTGAAGCTGTCTGCAGCCTCTGCAGTGCTGGTTCGATCCTGGCCGGCCGGCAAGGGTCCCACATGGCATGGCAGACCTCTCCTGTGTCGCCCGCTGCTCCCTTCAGCAGTGTATTTCAGTCAGTCTGCCTGTTCTGTTCCCTGCTCTGTCTCTGGTGAATCCTCTCACCCTCCTGCACATCTGGTGTGTACCCCGAAAAAAAAAATTAAAAAAAAATTTCTTGGATGAATGATTGTGTGTTATCTCATACCCCTTTACAGAACATAATCACAAATGATTCTGTAGACATTAAAGTAGTTCACTTTAAAAAATAACCCCTGGTGGCCTAAGGGTTAAGTCTCAGTGCTATTAGGCTATCACTGCTGCAGCTTGAGTTCAATCCCCAGCCAGGGAGCGAACACATGTGGTGCAGCGGACCTCTTCTGTCTCGCCTACTGCTCCCCTCAACAGTGTATTTCAGTAGATCTGCCTGCTCTGCTCCCCACTCTGTCTCTGGTGAATCCTCTCACCTCCTGCACCTTTGGCCTACACCCCAGCTGTTGTACACATAAATAAATAAAAATAAATCTTAAAAAAAAGAACATTACAAGTTGATTAGCACTGATTCTACAACAGACAAAAGTTATTTAATATTGTTTCTTTTTCAGGCAGAATTTAATATGAAACTTTAAAAACTAGACATTCATTACCATGAAAATGTTGAAACACTAACATGTTATTTCTAATTTACTGTGTATTATGGTACTTTGTTTCTTATTTTAACTGTTTTAATAGGAATGTGTTCTGTTTTAAGAGCTACCCTGAAAGACTGTGAATCAAATCCATATATTTAGTCCCAATGAGGAGAAATTTGGTGCCAACAGTTATTTGACAATAACTTAGGAAACAAATATCCTTTGTTGGATATCTATTTCAGATTTTGATGTTTGATTTGGTGTTCTTATTCTAACAAAATATATTATTTTTAACAGTGAAAAAAGAATTTTTACTTGTCAGGATTAAGAGATAATTTATATATGAGATATTTTACATTTATTCAGTGCTTATTAGGTGCAGTAAGAAATGAGATAAAAAGAACACTTTCCCTCTCTCTATAAAACATTTTTATTATGATTATTTATATTACAGCATAAGGGACACACATGTAAATGATTACACTATATTCACAATCATAGAATTAAATAATGACTTTAAATCTACCACCTGATTTAAGAGACTATACCATTGATTTGCTGATGGACTCTTTTTGTCATTGTTTCTCCCATATTTCCCATCTCAAAGGTAACCACTAATCTGGATTTTATATTCATCATCCTCTTGCCTTTTAAATATAGTTTTTAAAAATTTACATATATATCTGCAAACAATATGTTATTTAGTATTATTTGTATTATTAATCCATAAAAATGGCATCATACAGTATGTAGTGATTTTTTTCATTTGTATTCAGTTTCTAATATTAATTCATCTTGTTAGGTTTAATTATAATTTCTTCCTTTTTACCGCTGCCTAAAATTCCATTATTCAAAACAGCCAATTTATCTGTTCTTCAGTTTATGAATGTTTGGGTTGTGTCTAGTTTTCCTACCATTATAAAGAAGCATGTTATAAACATTCTTGTATATGTCTCATTTTGCATATGTGCAAGTGTCTGGGGCTATCCCTAGGAGTGGAATTGTTGCCTGTGGAGTGTACTTGTGTTCTACTTCACAAGATCATTTTCCAAAATAACTGTAACAATCTATTCCTTCCAGCAGTGATCACAGGTTGCCTTTGTTCCACACCTTAACAATCATAAACAATGCAACCTAGTTTATAAGCATGTATGTATAATTCAGGACATATTTGTAAAACATTCCATTCTTTGCCTATGGCATACTAGGTAATTTCTATGAGCTTTTGCACTAGAATAAAAAATGAGACTAAATGGAAAAAATATATTTTTAAATATGACTAAAAGTATTGGAGGACTATCAAGGTAATAAAGCATTATGGGTGTCTAGATCTGGGCAACTAAGAGATAGCATTTCACAGAATAAAATGACTATAAGGCATGAAAATTGCTCACAACCTTCAAAGTAGACATGTGTCAGCTTGTCAAAAATGAGATTGAGCATAGGATATTGTCTATGTGTTCTTGGTTGTGCTCTGTTTGCTTTTTCCCAGCCCAGCCCAATCTCTGTACCTCTCTGTGTCCAGAATGGGTAGAGCACATCAGGTTTCAGCAGCCTGAATCACGGTGGCTAAAGAAACTATGAAATTGATTCTAAAAGGAAGTTTAAATTTAAGGGCCCTAACTGAATATTCATCTGATAAGACTTGGACTGAGAGAAAGTTAATTAACTTGAATAGATTTTAAGCTTTCTCTCTTTATATATGCAAATGCTAAACCCATATGAAGTATTGGTACAAATACAAGTATGACTATATCTGAAATTCACCATCAGGAAAATTCTAGTGGAGACAATTGTCCTTGAGAAGACATTGTGAGAGATATAAGCGATCAGAATGAATAGGGAATGGTCATTATAGATTAGCTGAGATGATAGTGGAAATAAATAATGCAAATCTATAAATAATAAAGCAGCTAGTCTCCTTATAAAATAATCGTTTGGTATGAGCATTAGGGAAAGTGCATTACTAGCTAGATATGACAGTACCTGTCCAGTTTGTCTTCTTTTTCGCCTTGGTGGTACTGGTGTCCCTCCACTTCCCAAGAGAATAATCCCAGACTCATTCTTGGTGCTGAAGGACAGGTTGATTTCTGTTCCTACATCAATTGGCACAGGGGGAATCTCCACATACCCAGGCTTGGGGAAGCTAACTGTGTAAACATTCTGTGGTACAAAGAACGAGGAGAAGAAGGAATTAGAAATGAAATTTTAAATTAATTTCTCCATTCCACCTACCCTCCTTAACGCAATGGATGTTGTTATGAAATGCATTGTAGTTCTAGAACAGTTACATGGAAAGCCCAAGAGAAAAACCAGAGGCACTATTTCCAGCTATAGCCTTGAATCTTCTGAGCAGTTTGCCTTAAAACAAAAATTTGACCCTGATTTATTCTAGCACTTTTAATTTAAAAGATAGAGATTATCACTTATAGATAACATTTTCCTTTGGTTTTAATCAGTCTTTCCAAATCTCCTTTGAAAACACTCTAATTACTCCTTCAAATATCCTCCATCAACTAATTGTTTGTTTTATAGATGAGCACAATCACAGACTAGGTCTGCATTTTTCCTCAGAGATAAGCCAAGGTAAAGGTATTTTTGCTAGAAATGTATGAATACACCCAAGAAAAACTTTTTTAAATCAGATCGAAATTTCAAAAATATATAAATCAAACATGTCCTAGTCCAATTTTCCTTTTAAAATGAAACTAATAACCCTGTTCTTGCAGACGATAAAATCGAAACAATACCATATTAGATAGTAACATACTGCAAAGGGGAGACATCAAAATCGACTCCCATCCCAGAACTGTGAAGCACATATCGCTTTTTATAATTCATTCATTTATTCATTCATGTATTCGTGCATGCATTCCTTTTATCTTTCACAGCCTGCGCTCTTCTCTTCTTCGCAATATTTAAACTGAATTGCAATAAGCATGTTCATTTGTAATTTTCATTTTACTCTCTATATGGGAATATATCTCTGCCACTAAATACTTTTAATGGCAGGAGGTCAGTCCATTACATGAATGTACTAGAATTTATTTAAGCAGGCTCTGGTACTTCGGCCTTTAGAGTGACTAAAAAACTCATTTAAGTCTTGGATTTTGCTGGAGTAAAAGCAAGGAATTCTTTAATGCAGGTTATTTTCCTCCACAGTGTTTTAGGACCAGTTAAGTGACCTAAGTGTTGTAAAATGTATAATTTATTTAATATCTCAATTTTCAAATCATAGAGTTTTGGATAATTTAGATAAAACTACTATGCAGCTTTTCAATATTTATACAGTTCAAATTTCTCTCTCATATTTTAGTTGTAAAATGACTCTTGGTGACTGAAAAGTTCCTTTCCAGAATGATCTCCACGTGTACAGGTTATGCATTTTTGGGACAGTTTTCCACCCTACTGTAATAGCTTTTGCACGTGGATGGGAGTTAGGTTTTATAAGATTAAAACTTCCAGTAAAACTTGAAGAAACCAGGCCTCCCCTGGTGGCACAGGTGGTTGAGCAGAGCGCTGTGAAGCTGTCCGCAGCCTCTGCAGCATGGGTTCGATCCGGGCCAGCCAGCGGGAATCCCACATGGCACAGCAGACCTCTCTTGTCTTGTCCGCTGCTCCCCTCAGCAGTGTGTTTGGTCAGTCTGCCTGTTCTGTTCCCTGCTCTGTCTCTGGTGAATCCTCTCACACTCCTGCGTATCTGGCCTGTACCCCATTCTTGTATACATGAATCAGTAAATCTAAAAAAAAAATCCTAAGATTTAAAAAAAATAAAAATAAAACCTTAACCAATATGGATCCCTAGAGTTTCAATTCTGTATAGTATTTCATTTTATCTGTAGTCTCAAGCATTTCTGGGTGGATACCCATGGTTAATTGCAAATTGGAGCCTGTAACTATAAACAAAGAAAACCCTGAATATTTTTTCCCAGTTTTTAAAACATTATGGGTCAGTGGTGGACTCACTTGTCATTTCTCCTCATTGTCCCTTTATTTACCTGAATATTACAGTAATGCCTTCAAACAGTTTTAGCTGGAGGAAGAGGCTACAATGAACAGTTACATTATTTTGGGGTATTAAGAAATTATGATATTTAACATTTACTTTTTAAAAATACTCATAGCACTTTAGAGTTCCCATAAATTCTTACTAATATTTACCATTAACCATTGATGCTTGCTTCTGCCTCCTGTTGGTCAGCCCCTATTGAACACTCAGCAGAAGTGTCAAGCAGAATCATGGGGCTGCTGGGATGCTTTGGCAACAAAGAAAATACTCTGAAGATACCTGATAACAAGGGACTTTGCAGTCATGTCAAAAGCAAGTCTTTGTAGGTGGTTGTCAATCTATGCCATGTTGAAAGAAAAAGAGGTTCGATATCCAAGCTGCACTAATGATTATGGTGTAATCTTTTAAGATTTGTATATATTTCTAACATAGTCTAGAAAAAAATTTAACACTGCTAACAGAGGTCTAAATGACACATAAATATAAAACAAATCTAAAATAGGTGACACAAATGAACAAAGGGAAAAAGGAGTGTTTAAAAGAGAACTAGAAAGAATTGATTCTAATTGATACTAATACTGATACTACATGCTATGAAGGGTTTCCATGTGGAAAACTGATTCACAGCTTTCTGTCTTTATAATATTATGTCCTAAATTTAGTCAATCACTGTAATTATAGAAGTGGTTCAATCTTCCTTTATTAGTTATATGTAAATAAGACTAGGTTGAGTGGGAATTTAAAATATATTAAGAAGGGGACAATCCCTTTAAGAGCACCCAAACCAAATAAGTGATATCTGTTATGAATATATTTAGGAAGACAATAAAAACAGACCAACCTCCAGAGAGCATCCCTTGGTAACACCAACATAATCAGGGCTACTGAGTATATTGTATGGTGTTCTTGAAATTTCAATATCTTTAAGACAACCAGAATATTTCTTCAAATTTACTTCTGGCCTGTTGAAAAGTTAAATGGAAAATAAAAGCAACATTATTAGGACAATAGAAGTGGACAGTCTGACTTCTGGAAGCAAACGGTATAGAGCAAACTAGACACAGCAGACACACATCTCTCAAACTGCTCATAGCACATGGATCTAGCAAACTCTGTGTCCACATCTACTGAAGAGATTAAGATGGTGTTAACACCATTCGGAAGAAGCAATTAAAAAAATAACCTCATCCACAGCATTTAAATACAGGGGATAGGAATTATCTGACTTAAGTGCTTTATAAATTTGATGAATGTGTTTCTTTCTTTTCTGATAAAGAGCAAAGAATTGTGTAGATAATATAAACATCTACATAGCAAAAAAGATAAATGAAATATTTCTCAGGATATAGGAGAAAAATCTGTAAAAAATTATTTTAAAAAGCAAATGTTGGGTCTCCCCTGGTGGCGCAGCGGTTGAGCACTGGGCTGTGAGGCTGCCCGCAGCCTCTGCAGCACCGGTTTGTTCCCCGAGGGTCCCACCAAAAAAAAAAAAAAAAAAAAAAAAAAAAAAAAAGCAAATGTTTCTGTCACTGAAATTTTTATTTTGGGGGAGGGTAGTGAAGAATAAGATAATATATTTTTCCTTACAACTTTTAATTGACACAAGACATAAAAAACATTCTTTTGGGTCACATAACCTAAAAAAGATACTTTAAAATTGGGTTGACAGATGAACCCCTCAGGCCTTATACTATTTTGAGCAATAACAAAACAAAGCAACCAATGGCCAGAACATACCCTGAATTTTTTCAATAATGTTGAAAATTGTTTCTATACCTAAATGATATTTGAATGTTCACTTTAACACATTCATAAAAAGGAACAAATATGCTAGCATACAGCAGGTGCTCAATCAACACCAGCTAGCAGCCTGTGAGGGTGATAGTTCTTTAGTCTAAAGCAATGCAGTTCAGAAGAACTTTCTGTGATGATGCAAATACTCAGTTCTTTCCAAATAGGTAGTTACTAGCTACAGGTGGCTAATGCCACTTGAAATGCAACTTGTGCCAATGAGAAGTAGGCTATTTATAGTTATTTACTTGTAATTTCAAATTAAATAGTCACCATGGCTAGTGATCACCATATTCAACAGCACAGGTTTATAGGGATAGAAAAAGTAATATGGTTTTTGGTACTAATGAGTATTTGTAAAAACTGTCCAATCGGGACCAAAATATTATGCATATTAAGGCAATGACTAATTCTCTCCTCATTGTCCTATGATGCCAAGGCTTTCTTTTTTTGTCTTAATAAAAAGCACATGACATGAGGAAAAACATATGGGGAAGTAAATCAGACCCTGGTGGTGTGTATCAGGTAATTTCTGTCATGCCAGGTATTTGTTGTATCTCTCTCTCTCTCTCAGCTTTATTTTCTTTGCTCATTTTCCTTTATTCCTAAGGTCTTCTTCTCCTGTTCAGTCAGGTGGTTATTTTGAAGAACATGCCCCCACTAGAGGGTGAGCATCTTGCTAGAATCTTTGCATACAAAGCGAAGGAAATGAGTGAATTTCGTTTGCAGGGTTCATCGGCTTACACACTTTCCTTTAGAGGAACACTGATTTACTACAATTTTTTCAGGAGTCTTATAATAAAGCCAATCACTTCTTCAAGTTACATAGTTTATTATTTTATGCAAACACAACACCATTTCAAAATGGAATGATTTAGTAAGATCAATGTTATGAAAATCACAAGGAACAAATAATCACACATGGTGATCAGACTCCTAATGGCAACCACAGGTCTTTGTTTCCTCTGTTGCCACAAAGGCAAAATTACAGAACCATATCGTGTCCTTCCAGAGTTTTACTAGCTTATATTCAAGGCTTTGTCTTTTAGCCATCTAAGCAAATAACACAAATGATCTTATAACTACATTGTGATAAAACAACTGGGATTATGTTTCTCACACTTTCATTCGTATATACTTTAGTTTTTGGAAATCAAAGTCTAGCCTTTGCTTTACATTTTCTTGGATCAGTTCAGCTTCATTATCTCCCTTCCAGAAATTGGAACAGTTAGGCTCTGAAATACCCAAACATGAGGCATTAGCTCTAGTCAGAGTGCGCCAGCCCTGCGTATCTCTGGGGTTGCATCAGCCACTTACAGAGGCTGGCTGCTCACAATTTTCATGCTAATGCCTATCTGCAAATAGGATTTTAATGCTCCTGAGAACCTGTGGGAACTGTCCACAAACTTCTTCACTGTTAAAGCAAACACTTGTTTTAACATGGTATTTCCTGAAATTCCTTTTATCTGAAGCCATAGCTAATTCTAAATAAACACAGCAATAAATAAGCAGCTTTGCCAAGAGGTGCAAGAGCCGTGTCAATATTTGCATATTTGCAGGTTTGCAAAAAGCAACAAGGCAGTGGTAAGCATTTGGAAGCGCAGGTTGATTATTTAGTGGACAGCAGGATGTGATGGAGACCAGAGTCCAGGGTTCAATCCAAGAGTCCCCTCTGTTCCCCAGAACTAAATTGTGCTGATAAACCTGACCAGCTGCCCTTCGCGTGTGCTGCTGCGTGTGCGCCCCAAGGGGCACTGTGCCCAGGCTGTTGAACAAGTAAGCAGAGCAATCTGTCATCATTGCTGGTGAAACAACTCAAATTGCACCCAACTGATGGTGGGTAAGCAGCAGCATCTTTCTAAGCAAGGGCAGCAAGAGAACTATCTAGAATGCACTGCTTGTTCATTAAATGTGCTATGAATAAAGCTGCAGGTGTTGCTCTGCTTCTGCATCTCTGCTTGTCTAAAAGCTGCATTTACCCAACCCATGCACTTGAAGAAGGCATGCATAAGTTTAAATTTTACCTTGCTTTCATACTAGGTCAAAGGGAAGAGACAAAAACAAAACAAAACAACAATTTACTTATAATTGCATTTCCATTTAGTAAAACATTAAGCTGTAATCATAAATCTTTGGGAAAAAGCTTCTCACAGGAATCTTCAAAAATATGTAAAAAGCTGACATAAAAGAAAACAGACATGCTCTTGACATAATGAACATATATAATCTAAAGAGGACCATTTCCTGTATGATTCTATCAGAACATTTTCATTTTGAAATATGAATTTCAGCTACTAATTTTTATCAATCTTTTGAATGATAAAGTGTACAAATTCATGAGTCTCTTACAAATATTTACCCTCAAAGAGTTTGACCTAACAATATATGTAAAAGTAATTTACGTTTAATTTTTTAAAATTTTTTTTGCGTTTTCTCATGTGAAGACCCTGTCTGGGAAAATAACAGCTATCCATAAATTCATGGCTCTTGATTACTCACAAATATGTCTAAGAATTGTTTTTTAAATTTATTTTAATTTTAATTAATTCATATATATTTTGCATCAATGTTCATTTTTATGCAATGTTTGCTTTCTCCTCTCAGATGTAGTCCTCATAAAATTCCCACCATAAATTTACCCATGCACCATCACCACAGTCCTTTGTGCTCTTCCCTTCCCTGTTTTGCTCTTCCTTCTACCTTCACCTCCCCTGCAGAATGTCTCTGATTTATAATTGTCTGCTTTTTTTATTTGTTATTGTTACTGTTATTATTTTTTTTCTGATCTCTTATTTGGTTCCCCTATATTCATCCTATATGAAACCATCCTATATTTTTCTTTTTCCTTCTGACTTATTTCAGTGAGCATAATTCCTTCCTTTGAAATCTGTCATTCCATAGAAATATCATAATCCTTAAATGCTATACTATGAAAGCTAAAGAATCTTAGGGATAAAAATTTATAAGGTAGATCCTAGATATTCTGAAAGCTAATACTTGAACCCATCTTAGTGAAATTAACATAGGTATTTTTGTAGATAATTTCTAAAATATATTTAAGCTAATCAAAACTAAGTCAACACTACAATAAATGATATATTTGGATAGCCTTATTTTGCCTCTACTTAATTCAGTCATAGAGAATTTAGGTTGTGATCTTGCAAAGTAGAGCTTAAACCTGAACAACTGATGTATCCCTAATGTTATCAGTGTCTGACACATAACAAGTACTCAACAAACACTTGTTGAGTAATACTTATATTATTATTCAAATACATTTGGGTTACAATGATTTTTCCTGACAGGATACATTAAACCTATATTCCTAACATAAATGCATTTTAAGTAGATAAATGCAGAGTCAGTTTATTTGCATTATGAAGCATATCAACTTATGCCCTTGAAAGAACAGTAATTAGAGAATAGCTTGGTCTATGAGTTTAGATACAGAAGAAAAGAAGACTTTAGGTTGCATAATAGCTGTCATAAAATGGGACTGAAGTTTCATTCTTTATTTTGAGAAATATGCAAATAATTGACCACTATACTTTTCAATTATTCTAAGATCCCTCCAATCATATTGTGTCTTTTTAGAGTAGAACCATACAGAATGGCCTTTTGTATTCCATTAAAAACCAGCAAACTAATTACTAGTCAAGCCAAACAAAAATTAAAAACATGGTAGTCTGCATTTGTGTAAACCTTTGTGAATTAACCAAATCCATTTATGCAATTCTGATTCAATTAACATATGTTGAGCACCAAATACTCAATACATTTTATTTGTTATAAGATACTTTAAAATAAAGCAATAAATAAAATGCTACCTGAAATATTTTCTGACATGTTTTTAGTTACTTGCTTTTAATTTTGAACTAATTGAACTACATGAGTTAAATGTATGTTCCCATCCTGTTATCTATAAAACAAATGTGAAATAAAAAAAATATTGGCATGGTCATGAAAATAACTAATATACCTTTAGCATTAGGTATAGGGGAAATCTCCAATACACCATTATCATACTAATGCTTAGCAATAAAATAGGTTCTACTCAGGTATCCTGGAATACTAATTTTCAGAACACTAGGCAATATCAGTGTGTCATTATATCCAGTGAATGTTCAAGGAGAACAGCAATTACAAGATTCCACATTCAATGTTAGTTTCCACCTTTAATTACTTTCATAATTCTTTTCACTGGGTTAATATAAGAAACAGTGATTCCCATCTATCTCTTTAACAAAGATGTCAAATTAATCCTTTGGTTTCTAAATTCTGGTGTTGTTCTAACATGCAACAGTATTTTTTTCAATTACACCTTTTTGCAACTAAAGGTTATACCACATTCCTGTTGTAATTAAATTTCAGGACTCTGGTGAATATAGTGGCCATTTAATTAAAACTTAATCCTTAGCTCTAAATATACACTAAATTACCTCAAGTTTCTCAGTGTTGGCAGACCACCAAAATATATTTTGTCATCTGCTTTCAGATCAAGTCCAAAGTTATTTCCAGGAGATGATGTTACTATATTCTCTTCTTGGTTAGTGTCTATGTCAACAATGGATATATTGGCTGTAAAGGTGATAGAAAGGTTAACATTTTATTTGAGCAATGCCAATCATCTCTATAGCATCACTATTACTTTAATTCTTAAATTAACACTGACTTTCTCAAACACTTGTACTATATACAACTATTTAATAAACATAGAAACAATAATAACAAAAATAAAATACATTATTCAACTATCCACAAGGAGAGCATGAAAATAATAGTCTGAACATCAATGAAGACAAACCAAAGAAGAGAGAAAAGTTTAGATATAAAGTATCATTTGGCATAGTTTTCTTTAATATACATTATTACTTAGAAAATAAAGATAATTAACTAATGCTAACATAAATGTCTAATTAAGAAATATAATTATATAATATATAATAATATAATTAGAAATATACTGAATCTGTGGTTCCTTCTGTACATTTCAATATCCACAGAACTATTTGGGCTTAGACGCACCTTCAAAGAGATGTGTATGGGATAGTTGTACCTGGATATGGAAAGATGGGATTGTTTAGTTCTGCAAGATGATGGGATTCATGTCCTTTGTAAGTTACATGTTCATTATAGGATGGGGATGCTGAGTGTTATGAAAGAGGTACAGTCCTCATGACTTACTGCTTTTTTCCTCTAGTTGCTAAAGGTATTTATAATATGAGAAGGATAAGAACTCAGAAATAGGAAGGAAAATAAAAAGAGAGGTACTTCTCTGTTTAAACTGCTTTGTTCAGAAAGCACGTGGGAACTCCTTAAATCATTGATTTTCCCCTCCTCCCTTCATTCTTCAGAGCCAATATAGAATCTGAATTATTTACATTACCATATTTTCCTAGACCTAGTCTTTAGTGTTTCCTATATTTTGGATCCTTAAAGTATATGGGGGCATCTGTTGATTAACATAACAGAATTTGCTCTTAATCTTTGACTGATATAAGATATGAATTAGCTAGAGTCTGGAAATGGATATTTGAACCAATGGATTGATTATAAGAGCATTTCTAAATGTCTATTCTTTGAATGCTAGTCTCTTGGATGTTCCTGATTCAAATAAATATGACAGAAAAATAAAATAAAAGTCAAAATCAAAATAACAAGTAATTAACAGTTCATATCAATAATCACCCTAAATGTGAATGGTCTAAATTCATCAATAAAAGACAAAGGATAACAAAATGGATGGTCCTCAAGGCAGTTATGCTGAGGGAAATCAGTCAAAAAGTGAAAGATAGTTTTTTGGATGGTTTTACACTTCTGTTAAATATAAATATGTAAAACCAATTATATGCAAATAATAGAAGGAATGAAACTTGAACGAGGCAAAAAGAAGACAATGAACCAGGCAAAAAGAAGACAATGACTAGAGAAAATAGGGAGGCCCATGGAGGGGTTAGGGAAGGCAGGCAGATGGCTTATGGGCATTGGTGGTTTAGTAGAGGGGAAAAATTACAGAAAAAAAATACAGTTAAAACTGTGCTGTAAACTCAAATTTATCTTCAAATTCAATCACTTGTTTATTATTCTTTAACCACATCACATTTATTTTTATTGCAGAGGTATTTTCCAAATTTATCTGAACTTGAAACCCTATTATCTCCTTTCAACTCATTATCTTTTAGGATAGTGTTATTCAGAAAGCAAAGAAAAATACCAAACTCAAAAATTTCATTGTCATCTGTAGCTCTTCCATTCCAAAAGGAAGTATCTTCAATAAAAACCAAATAATTTCCTTATAAAAATGACCAAAATAAAACACCCAAATCCATTAACACTGCAAATCCAGTTTTTTTTTAAATAAACAGCCAAACACCTAAAAATAACTGTGCTATTAAAAATATTTATCAAGTTAAGATGTAAAAATTGAATCTCTTCACACACATTAATTTCACAGATACCTATCTCTTTGACTGCACTAAGTAAAATTAAAAAAAAAACACACAAAAAAAACCAAAACTGCTTTCAAGATTTCTTCATATGTATTTCTTTTTATCCAGATCAGCAAAGAAATATTCAGATGGGGTTGTTGACTGGAACAACTGATTGTTGAAAATAGCCTCCTTATTCAGGCCTGGTATGTATTTTGGCGGTGTCTGTGGAAATGAGATTCTGTCCCTATCATAGGCAAGCCAGGGACTGAAGGTAGTTTTCCTCTTTATCCATGAATGAATATATGCATTTTAGAAATCCTTCTAAGAAAAACTGATTAAAGAGCAGTCACACAATTGAATTGAAACTCACTGGCCAATAAGTTAACTGCAGCAGAGCGACAGAAGATGGCATATTTTTACTGATTTACAGGAAGGACTTTATTCTCTCCTTCATGAGTGATAGCAATGAGATGGTTTCTGCTATGAAATGCTAACAGTTGCTTTTATTTCTTGTTCAATCTCATTCCCTTACAGAATACCTATCAACAAGATTTCAGAGCTGATGAGATCAGATGTCATTTATGTGTAAGCAGGGAAATAACGGCTTCAGATAGGTTTTAGAATAGGAGCTCCATAAGTATCGCATCATCAGTGCTGAGTTGTTTATTAGTGAATTGTTTTTTCTTTGGTAATTCTCCCCTCTCTTAATCCATTGAAAATATTGACTTATTTCTGCTCAATGCCTTTGGGGATACGGAACACTTCTATTAGTGACTGGGGTCCTAATGAACTCCCAAAGTGGTGGAGAATGCCTCCAGAAGGAGTGTATATGAGTTTCAAGGGACAGTTGAGAATAATTCATGTAAAGGAAATAATCTGATTTCTGAAAAGGAGCAATGACCCAAATAGCTAGAGCTATTTGGATTCTTATTTGGATTCTTATCCCACTACTCCTTAGATTCTGATCTTGCCAAAATCTGTGGTGACTTCCCTCCATCTGAATTTAGTGGCATGTTGGCTTTGATCTTTTCCATACCTATGCTGTATTTGAAACTGGGGATATACCTTTTTTTTTTTCCCTAGCAAGTTTGCTTTTTTGCTCCAGATTGCCAATCTCTCCAGTTTGTCTTATCTTTCCAACATCTTTATCAATCTTCTGCCGGGGAGCCTATTTCTTTGAACACTTTTAAAATGCTGATGTTCCCCAACTCCAAAAACAGCTAGTTTATCCACCTTTTGGTGAAGTGCTAGAAAGTCCAGATTTGAGTTCTCTGGGTAAACTCAAGCTTATATCTACTTATTTTTCATGGCCAAACATTTATTCCTGTGTTTTACTTTTGCCTAAATATCCATATTCAACCAGTGAGACATCATCATCTCTCCCTCTCTCTCTCTCTCTCTCTCTCTCTATATATATATATATAAAATATATAATATATATCCTCAGTACTTCAAACTATATAGTTTCTATATCAAAGTGACTATCATTTTTCTCCCAATTCTGCATCACTCATTTTATTTGGTGACACTATGATTCATACTTGTCTCCCAAACTAGAGCCAACTGGACTTTCTTCTCCCCATTCAACATCTAATCATCAACTGTACTAGATTCATCCCTTGAAAAACAATTTTACTAGGTATAATAAACATAGTGCAATTTGCCTATGATTAAAGTGCACAGTTTAACAAGTTTTGAGATATGTATACACTCATGAAGTCATCACCACAATCTAGAAAATGAACATATTCAACACCCCAAAAGTTTTCTTATGCTTGTCACCCTTCCTACCTCCCCCTAAATACAGTCACTCACAAGTTATCTCTGTTCACTTTATCAATTATAAATTAGTTTGTATTTTCTAGATCTTACATAAATGTACTCTTTTTCTGCCTTCTCTCACTCAGAATAATTATTTTGATATTCACCCATTTTGTGCATCTAGTTAATAGTTTACTACATTTTATTGCTGATAGTATTTCATTACGTGGATATACAACAACTTGTATATTCATTCACCTGTTGATGGATGCTTGAGTTATTTTGTGTACTGGGTAATGCAAGTAAAGGTGCTATGGACAATCTGGTCCAAGTCTTTGTATTGATACATGCACTCATGGGTCTTGGGTGATATGTAAAAATGGAATGACTGGTTCCTATGGTGGGTGTATAGTAGTTGCCCTTGTAAGAAACAGCCAATGTTTACCATTTTATATACTCATCAGAGGTGTATAAGAAGTCCAGTTGCTCCATCCACATCTCATTGCACATTTATTTTCTATTTCCCTAGTGTAAAATTACACTAGAATTCTTACTTCCAGTCATTATTTATCTTCTACCTGGAATGATTTTCAGCTTAATTGTTCATTTTGCCTCCAGCTTGGATTACTGAAAATCAATTTTCCTTACTGCACCTTTCTCCATTTCTTCAGTGTCTCACGTGTGGGGTCTTCCTTTGCTGTACTGTATCAGTATTGTTTCCTTCCGTTTTGGATCATCTTATTCTAGATATTTCTGTTTATTTTGTCTCATCTCTATTGAGCTACAACTATTTAGGACATGATGATGGTTCCTAGTTATCTACCTCTTAGAACTCTACTGAACTTCACATACACGTAACAAATTGCCTGCCAATTATATAGCGCTGCTAGGCTGCTAAAGATACAAGTATCTTTAATACAACATGTCTAAAAGAGAACTCAGCATTTTTTAAAGAAACCTATTCTTTTTCCTGCAACCATCAGCTTGGTGAATATATTTTTGTGATGGGAAACAGGAAGAGGGAGAGAGGAAGAGAGGAAGAAAGCAAAACAGGATGATTTTCAACCTCATTTAAAAAAAATAGCATTCATACTGAATATATGAAAAAACTCTTCAGTTTTAAAAAGCTGAAATCCATTTTTTTCAACCTCTTTCTTCTTCATCCTTACTTAGTTTTCACTATCCTCACTCTTCACCTGGTTTACTGCAGACGGCAGCAGCATCTGAAGTTGTCGGAAATCTACTTTCCAAACTGCTCCAAAGAAATTTTACTAAAGCATAGTAAATCTGATGGTGTCACATCCTTGATTAAAACTCTAATTCCCTATAGCTTTCAGGATAAAGTTGAAACTCACAAGATCCGTTATGAACAGATTCTGTATCTGCATGGTCAAAATTAATTAGGTCTAATATATAAGTAGATGTATCAAAGCTTCAATTGAAGATACTGATAACACTATAGTACAAAGAATGAAGGGAATTATACATAAATAACAGTAACAGTAAGACCTAATAGACTTGGGTTTCTGTCTTGGTTGTGAGATATTACTCATGTTGTCTGGGACTACATAAAACTCAAATTTGTGATTCCCTTTCTCTAACACTAAAACAAAATACATGCTTGTATGAGTAAATGATAATATGTTTGTGAAAGTGTTTTGAAAATGTCCTGAAACAAAAAATGTCATATTATTATTAATCAATCATTAACCTGCATGTATATAGATTTTGGGCATTTTCACAGAGTAAAGAACTGGTAGCTGTGTTCTGCCACCTCTACAAATTCTACCTGTGGACAACTCTAAAGAAAGATGATAGCAAAATAAGAAGAAAAGAAAGTCAACAATTTTTCAAACCGACTATAAGATATAATTTTATAAGTTGTAAGAAAGATTTATGCTTTCAAATTAAGCTCTCAGTTTCAAAAGAAAATGACAGAGAACCATTTGGCTCTTCAGTCAGTTTCATCTCATCCAACCCACCTGCAATCTATGCCAAAGAAATGACGATATCATTTTTTTTTCAAAGAATTTGTGAGTACCTGAAATTACAGACAGGGTCTTCTTCATGATTAGGTACATGGGGATTTTGGAGAGCATGAATATGACTAATAGTGCATTATGTACTATAAGAACTCACCTAGTTTTTGAATTCTTGACAGTGTGAATGATTTCCATTTCCCATCATTGTGGTTTTGATTGCTGATAACAGAAGCCATTCCTGAGCCCAGATCATAGCTGACTTTTATGTGCCCATCAGTGAGCTCTACACTCATGAAATCTTTCTATTAATAGAGTAAAAATATAACAGTTATTAGGTACACAGAGAAATATGGGTGATCACTTTCTTTGCAGAGTTTCTATTAGAGCCTTGTGGCTAAATTACGGAAAATGTTACTCTATAATTGAAACCCATTTGGAAATAGAATTGGTGTTTCTATTCTGTGAATGTTTGCAGATGTGATATTATGGTACAAATGGTCACAACCAAATTGCTAGGACATATCCTTTTATTACAAGTGTATAAAATGAATTCCTTTGAAAACATATTAAGCAAATGAAAAAGTATGTTCCTGGCAAGAATTTACTAAGAAAAATTGAATTGACCTGGGGAAAAACAATAAAGATATTTAAAAATCATCTCTCAATTTAGGTTTCTAGAGGAAGATTAAGGAAGCGGTTTTGCTCCTGCTTGATTGCATACTGGGAGGATCATTACTTGGAACTTTTCTTAAAGATTTATATGGGGAGTTATAGTAAAGGAAATAATAATTATCTTAAAGTTATTAATGAAAATACATAATTACTATCTACATCTATCACATAGCCATCCCAGACTCCTTTCAACAATAAATGATAATTGCATTGGAATCCTACAGAAAAGAAGCAAGCATAAATTTTAATCATGGGAAGATCTACTGTGCATTTATTTACCAGGTCTCTTGTGGCAAGGTACATCAGGAGTGCACTTGAGGAAAATGTCCTGAACTTGAACATGACAGTAGAGATGTTGGGGTACCAGCGAATGGGGCGGCTGACCAAAGCATAGCCTTCTCCATCAAACTGAATAGTTCCCTCACTATCTTCCACCTGAGGACTGAAAAGAGAACATTTCACATGTACCAAACTATACCTTTAGGCCATTATTTTCCAATACTTCAAACTGTCTTCTGAGACTAGAATGTAAGCTTTTGTAGGGCAGGAAGTGTTCCTAATATATCTTTGATTCTGCCACTTCTCTCTACCTTCACTGCCACTCTCTTGGACCTAGCAACCATCATCTCTTACAGGAATTTCACTTGGTATTCAACAACTAGGTCGCTGATGCTTTATAATTAGGTAAAGCTTGGTGGATAACTATGCTGGTGTTTAAGTATATGTTAAGTGTATGTTGGTGTGAACTGGTGAGGATTTTGGATGAACTAAGAATGCATTATTACATAATCATATACATAAAAATGGGTAAAGGGGGGGATAAAATGGGTGAAAGATATCAAAAGTTACAAACTTCCAGTTGTAAGAAAAAAATAATGAATTATAGGTTCCCATTTTCTGAATCTTTATTATCCAGTAAGCTTTTCTGGGATACATAGATTCAGACTATGAAGGATGCCTTTTTCTATTTGTGTGTTTGTCTTTCTTCACTAGAATGTAAAATCTAAAGACCATGGACCAGGCTTATGCCAAGTACAAGTACAGCATCTAATATGGTACTTCTTTTTCAAATATTAGGTTACCTGTCATCTATCTATCTATCTATCTATCTATCTATCTATCTATCTATCTATCTATCTGTCTGTCTATCTGGTAGATGTTAAAGTAAATTTCAATTTTAGAGATATGTTAAAACTTGAATATCTGAAAATTAGCATATATATGAAACTCAAAAATTAGAGTATTGTATTAAATTGAGGGTAGAGAAGAGATATTAAGAAATATAATTGTAAACATTGAAAAATGGCAGGAATCTAGAATATTATTTTCATGAAATATTGGCTAATGAGAAAAGTAACAGTGCACAAATATAGACTTATGGAGGAAGAATCATTACACATTTTAGACAAGTTGACTTTCTGTTCAGGGACTAGAGAGTAATAAAACTGAAGAGTGTTATTCTGTATATTTCATGGCTATATTTTTGTAATTTTAAGTTACAATTAAGTCTTACAAATAAGACTTGATGATTGCATATTTTTTTCTAATGTAAACTTAAAAAATGCTTTTTAAATATTCATGAAAATGTTAACTGAGTTTGAGGTACAAATCATTCTATTAATAATATAATTGATGGTGAATAAAGTGGCTATTACTTGGACTTCCATAATTACAATAAATCCATCAATCTCTTGAGTATTACACTCAAGACAAGAAGAAGGTTGCATAGAGTCTATTAAGATATTCCTACGTATTAGGATTTTGCATTATATCCTGACCCTGGAAAGGGGTTTGGGAGTCACTGTTGACAGTTTTCCACGTGCTGTGGTCTAGTACATTATTATTTATAACTTAAACCTAAAAACCTCACCACACAAAATTAGGATAATCATTAGAATGAGAATCAAAACATCACATTTTATTTTTTTATACAATTGTGGGATATTTATACCTTGAGGTCCTTACGTTCTTAATCCATTAATTCTTTGAATACATAATAGAAAAAAACAGCAGATTAGATGGCAGGTACCCTGGAGTCTGACGTGGAATCACACTAATGCACTGCTGCAAGTGACTTAACACTTCAGGTCTCAGTTACTCAACTGTGAAATGAAAGTATTAGATCACTGAATGATTTCTAAGTCCCCTTCCTATTCCATTGCTATGGGACAGTCTCCTAGTCAAGCAAACAGCAATTCTGTTGGAATAAGCCTTGTGTTGGAAACAACTAAACTTACAGAGGCAGACCAACCTATTTCACTTAATTCATTAACCAAACCAGGTAAATCTGACTAACTTGACTTTGAGATGGAGGAAATAAGGAATCCTTCCAGGTGTAGTCTGTAATATTTCATCATCTAACATTATATTAGAACTTTCCTATGCATTTGGAATACATTTATAGGAAAAGTAACTCATCTTTTATAATTAATAAATGCTAAGCTTCATAATATGTCTTTTGTTTCCCTTTTGAACTTGATGTCAAGTTAGTAAGGATTAGTTATGCAATACAGGTACATGTAATATAATGTAATGTACATAACATGTAATGTAATACAACTATAGAAATGGATGTATATTTGGGTCTAATACAGAACATTTCATCATTATTCCAGTGTTCAGCTAAATACATTTTAGGGCCTCCCTGGTGGCACAAGGGGTTAAGTCTCAGCACTATGAAGCTATCTGCAGCCACCGCAGGAGCACAAGTTCCATCCCCAGCTAGGAAGCTGCCCACATGGCGCAGCAGACCTCTCCTGTCTTGCCTGCTGCTCGCCTCAGCAGTGTATTTCAGTAGATCTGCCTGTTCGGCTCCCCACTCTATCTCTGGTGAATCCTCTCACCCCCCCCGCACCTCTGGCCTGTACCCTAGCTCTTGTATGCATAAATAAATAAATCTTTATAATCTTTTAAAAAATTAAAAGATTACAAATAAATTTTAAAAAAAATAAATACAACCCAAATACCCAAAAATAGATGACAGGATCAAGAAGATGTGGTACATATACACAATGGAATACTACTCAGCAATCAAAAAAGAGAAACTCATGCCATTTGCAGCAACATGGATGGAGCTGGAAGGGATCATACTCAGCAAAATAAGCCAGAAAGAAAATGAAAAACACTGGGTGGTCTCTCTCATAGCAGGAATTTAGAAAACCTAAATAAGGGACCAGGAAAAAGACTAATTATAATAAAATCAAAATCAAAATCAACAAGCAACTACAAACCAGAGACACACTAAGGAGGGGTGGAGGGGAGAAGGGAGTATGGTTAAAATAAGGGCAGTGGGAATTGTATGGGGAATATAATCAAGATGAAAATGCATATTGTGCAAAAATGAAAAATGATGTAAAAATATATAAAATAAAATTAAAAATAAATACATTTTACTTGTAGCATTTTTAAATATGATTTTCAAAGTTTAAGAATAATAAAATACACTTCTCTTTTTCTATCCCTGACAGATTACTCTTTCTAAAGTCTAAAATGATACCTCTACTACTGAGTACTGAATAAATGTGAATTTCTAAAACTATCATTCTAAGATCTACATAATTTTCTTAGTCAACCACTTGCAACCACATCTTTTACATCTTCCTGATATAATAATTTCAGCTCCCAAACTGGATCTATAGGTCTGTAAAAATGTAATAAGTTTTTCTGGAAAAGAAAACACACACCAGAAGTTCTATAAAAAGAATTCATATAATTATCAAGAAAATAGGGTTAGGAGATGCCACTCAAAATTTGTAATCATAACACTCAGAAAACAATCTTGTACTCAGAAAAGTTCAAGAAGGTATGTTAGAAATATAAACAATAAAATTATAAAAGACAAATAAAAGAGTCCAGTAAATATGGCACTTTGCCTTAAAAAGAATAGGTGAAGGTAGTTTGATGCTAAGAGAGTAAGGAACCCCACTGTGTGCAAATGTGGTATAAAGGCATGATGGAGAACTGGACAATGAACAATTCCAAGATGGAGTCTTTGGTCAAAACAATGATGTGTTTGTGTGTGACTGGCGCAGTATGCAGGCTGTGTTGTGAGCCAATACTTCTGAACTTAGTGTCCTCAGTTGTGTTAGTACACCTTGCATTCAGCTTACTGTACTTGGTGGTACAAAACATTATTATGCTTGGGAGAACCAAGTATGAACCAAAGTGAGTTCTGCACCTTATGAACATCATTCTCCCATTTGCCAACTCTGTATGAGTGAACTCACATTTAGGAAATAAGCACTGTAGCAGAGCAGACTTAACTTTCCCTTTTCTGCAAATACTCTGACTTTGCAACCTTTGCTCTCTGGTCTCTGGCACTAGAATGCTGTCTATATTCTCTCTGCCATTTAACTCCACCTCAAGCCCCACTTCAAATGTCACCCCCTCCATAAAGCAGTTGTTGATGCCCTTAGCCTCATATGAATAGTTGTAGTATACTCTGAATGCACCTGTTTTAAGGAATATGTATTACCCCTTGCATTTTGACTATTTTGGTATTTGCCTTTCCCTCCCTTCCTTGTTATAAGTTTCTTGATGGCTAGGACTGGATCATACTCATCCTAGTGTCAGGAAGTCATAGTGTGAATCTAACTGAACACTTTACAAACATACAGGAATGCTATAATAATTGTATTAGTTTGCATAATACTTCATATACTGAAAGCAAGTGATCTTTGCAGAAGTGATTATTAGTAATGTGATAACATTAACATTGATATCCACTGATGAACGGACATTTAAACGCTTTAGATGTTTTGTTGGTAATAGGCTTTGGAAAATCCTACTTACAAATTTACTTGTAAAGAAATGTTTAGGGAAAAGTTGGTGTTGATTTGTGAGTAGCTGAATATTAATGTGTACCTCATTGTCCCTGTTGTATTGAAAGACCTTTACAGACAACATTTCATGTTAGATTTTATTGAAGATTAATGACTAAGTCACTTTAACCTATGAGTGGGTCAGACTTTCTTATACTGTCAAAGCCATTTTGACAAATCCATGACAATAAAAACAGAGAGGTGGAAGTTAAAACTTTTAGAGAGAGAATGTTTTAGAGCTACTTTCTTTTATGAAATTTTAGAGGTTGAGGGAAAAAATGTAACATGTACTCTGCTACATTAATGGGGACATTGATTTTGGCAATGTACGTGTACCCTTTAAAGTGGAAGTAAAAAATGCAAACTCCTTAGCACCTGATGATTTTAGAATTGCTATGTGCATATATATTAAGTTCCAGGTATTTAATTTAAATTTTATAGCTTTAGTGTGGCACAAGGGGTTAAGCACAGCACTAGGAAGCAAACCGCAGCCTCTGCAGCATGAGTTTGATCCCCGGCCAGCCAGGGAGCAACCCACATGGTGCAGCAGACCTCTCCTGACTCGCCAGCTGCTTCCCTCTGCAGTATATTTCAGTCAGTCTGCCTGTTCTGCTCCCCACTCTGTCTCTGGTGAATCCTCTCACCACCCCCGCACTTCTGGCCTGTACCCCATCTTTTGTATGTATCAATAAATAAAGCTTTAAAAAATTTTATAGCTTTAATGTAATTAAAATTGTAATAGACTTAGTTGTTTAGTAGGCTCTAAGTTGTACCATATAGAGAAATCCTCCATTTCTAGCTAATTGTTTTAATACTCTAGGTTTACTGAGAATATTTATTCTCTATATACACTTTGTATGCTTGTAAAATGCTTTTAAAATCTTACATTCTAACCTCCACCCTATCATTGATGATGTGGATTATAGCATCTTCTCTTGGCCAATTAAGCCCCTTCTCCTTCTTCTCCTTTACTTAAGCAGAGTATTCAAGTTTTGTGGGTTTCTACCTGAAACTCTTACAGGATCCTATGCATTATTTGAAAATTCTGTAGGAGACAAAATCTCTAGTAGGGTCCTGTATTTTTTTATAAGCATAGAGTGAATACAAATTTTGTGAAGCCCGAAGCTTAATGAGTTTGGGGAGATTTCAGCTTAAGAAAAAAGAAAACATGACTTCAGGATAGTCACACACACACACACACACACACACACACACACACACACAAACAACTCCCGCCCCCAGACATGAAGTTGGAAATGGAAAGAGATAGCTGCCTTTACAGATTGTGGTTAAAATGCCTTACCTTTGAAGATATAATAAAAACATAGGACCATGTAAAAGTAGTGCTAGGACACATCTGGGGCCTTCTAAAGTTCATGCATAAGTGTGGGGAGGGACTTTAACTTTCTTTACTTCATGCTAAAACTCTGAACATAATCATTTCAAACCTCTCCATATCATCCACGTGATGATACATGATGATACATTTTTTTCACAATAAATTTAAACTGTTGTTATGCACAGGTTAAACCTTACTAGGGTCCTCATCTCAACTAACCTGACAGTACATCCTTGGCAGTCACCTTCTTTTTCTCGGAAATTCCACAGCCCTATGGGTTTGCTGTCAAAGTATGTTTCTCCCATGCAGCCAGTGAATGTAATCACTCGTACAGCATCAGCTTTCTGCAGAAAAATATGATATTTATTTAGAATTTATATTTTCACAAAAAAAATCTGAGAGTAGCCTCAAGAGTAACAGTAGTATCTGCAGTAGTTATTGTCCATTCTTTCTGATAATGTCCATTGTCACATATTCGTTTCTTAACCATGTTATACCCTTACAGGTCTTGGTTATTTGGTGCTATACCAATTCATCACCATTAGTAAATAAACACTTCCTACCTTCTGACTTCAGGTGAGCCTTTTACCCTTTTTGAGATTCTACTTTTTATCCAAAACATGGATTTAGAGAAATAAATAAGTTAATTTATAGATGGTACCACATTTAGTGCCAAACACAGAGAAGGTGTTTAATAAATATTATGTTCTTACATCCCTAAGATTTCTCTTCAGAGATCATAAGAAGGGTATATACCACTCACACATAGGGAAAAATAAACTTTCATATACACGTCCATATTCCCATTTTCATATACACGTGCTATTCCCATTTTTTTTTTCATTTTATTTTATACCTAAACACCTTTCCAGTGTAGGAGAATGAAGGGAAAGAGTAAATTTGTAAGAGAAGGGCACATACTTCTGGTGTTCACTGGTATCCACAGAACAGAATAGCCATCCCATTGAGCATCTAGTTGTATTCTGTATATTATATCCCACAATATACAGGCAAGGAACATATAGTTATTTTCCCTTCCTTGTTGAGACATCTGAGACTGAAGGGGTTAAGTGACTTGCTTGAAATCATATTTTAGTAAGTGATAGAGCAGGAAATCCAGTCCTGATATGATTTCAAAATTCATGGCTTTTGTATTACTCTGTGCTAGTGATGCATTTATCTTTTTGGAGAGAAGAGAAAGTTGGCAATATGAGTCTGTATTCCCATACATCATATATATTTATGTGCAGTTCAAAGAAATGAGGATTTTAGTGTGTAGTTACAGAATCAATTCTAATACTTTAGAGTCACATCTCGTACACAAAGTAAATAAAACAAGCTCACTCTATAATTTGGGGTCATCCTGGATTTTCACATTTTCAGACAATCTCATCCCAGAATGATTCTGACAAGCCCAGGATTATCCATTCTATTTGGTTGTGCTCTTACATCTCACCCACAGGTCATTTTCCAATACCTAATTCCATTTAATCAACTTGAGCTTCTTTAAAATGCAAGCATTCTGCAATTTGAAATGCACAAGGACCTGTCATGAAGCAATTATGAATATTAAATGCATTATTCTATAAATATGGGAAGAAGTAGAACTTGAGAACTTTTGAAATCAGACCATGATTTGAAAGCTTATGACTCCTATGATATTTCCCAAGGTATTCATAAATCTTTTAATTAGATGTGACTTCTTTGAACTTTATAGCACTTCATATCAATAAATCATAAATGGATTCAGGAAATGGGATATATTTAAAAAACACTTTGCTTTTGATATAACTAAAGCAAGAATATAAAAAATATTGATGTCACAGATTAGGGAAAAGCAACTGTTAAAATAAATACATATAAGTGTAAAAATATGGTATTTCCATATTGCATATTCAAAAATGAAAATTCTTCAAGATAAACTTAGGCTTTCACAAGCAAATTAAATAAAAAGTAATCATGTTTTTTGCAAAGCTTTGTCATGTTTCCCCTCCTCCGATATGTCAGGAGTTGAAAACATAGGTAAACTAAAGAGGATGAGGAAGAATACATCACCTTCAGTTTTCCAGTCAAGCCACCGACGAACAGCATTGCATTTGCATCCACATCTAGAATAGTGTACCCTGGAGGAGATGCTGAGTAGTATGTACTGGGCACAATGCTGGCTTTGGGTCCCTCTAGGGCTCTCACAGAAATAGTTCCATTTCGCCCAGTCCTTGCAGGAAATGTGTTGAAATGAAGTGGAAGGAAACACACAAAAAATGAAATGTTTCACATATCTGAGAGGTATAAAGGGTTTATACTTATACTTTGGGTTTAGTGAGTCATGTTTTGAAATATTAAAGAGATAATTGGTGTTCGGCTTCGAATGTTCCAGATTCATTAAACTACAGATCAAAACACAGAGCCTGATCCTTGCTGGATGTTTACTATCGGAGTCTACAGAACCTGTGAGCACCACACCCTGATTCCTCCTATGTTGTTGATATGAAATGACACAACAGTTAGCTGATAAAATTGTTATTTGTTAAATGGAAAGACTTTTTCCTATTGCTTTACAAAGCAATTTACTATTTACCAACACATACTATTTGAAGAGGTTTACATTACTTCATTTAGCATTTTGTCTGCTGTAATTCAGTAAGGGAGCCTTAAATGGGCCACCCCTCTACATGAAAAGTTGCATCATTTCTACAAAAATTCTTTAATATAGCTTGGATCCAAATTTGCTGAGTCTTTTTGGAATTGTGCATCTTTTATTGTTTGGCATTCCATCTTAATGCATATATGTATATAACATGTAGTCTTTAAAGATGTATATATGTACAAGAACTTCACTTTTAAATTCAATTAATAGAATTTTGAAAAGCCATTTTCATTTTGTTTCATTTTCTTTTTTCAAGTGGCTAATTTCTATGAATGATTGATTATGAAAATCTGGTCTCTTTCTGAGATGAGCAGTCATTGCTTTAGTGTCACATTATGGTAATTTTTTTTATCTTTGAGGTTGCTGTATTAACTGAAATATATGGAAACAATAGGATGAATTTATCAAATAAAGCTCTTTTTTGACAGAATGCATCTTTTCTAGTAGAACTGTACTATGTGAAGCTAAAGGTTCTTAAATCCAGTGAGGTACTTAAATGCTCCTCCATCAACACACCTGAAAGCTCGTTCTCATATATAAACACATGTAATTTTTTGGATATTTTAAAAATTAACTGAAATGTTGCTTCCCATAAAGTTTTCTTTTAGACTTTTTTTTTTAAAGATTTATTTTTATTTATTTATACAAGCACTGGGTACAGTCAGAAGCGCTGGAGGGTGAGAGAATTCACCAGAGCCAGAATGGGGAGCACAGCAGGCAGACTGAAGTACACTGCTGAGGGGAGCAGAGGGCAGCAGGAGAGGGCTGCGCGCCATGTGGGACCCTCCTCTGGTGGCCGGGGATTGAACCGGCGCTGCAGAGGCTGCAGGCAGCTTTGCAACCCAGCGCTCAACCGCTGTGCCACTGGGGAGGCCCTCTTTTAGACTTTTTCTATAGAAAAAAAATTTAAGCACACACAAACACAGAATAAAAATATGTATACACCCCCTAAATTCAACAATTATCATACATTCAAGTCCTTTTTACCCATTTTGAATCAAATTCATCTCTAGCCCTAGACCCTTAACAATACCCTTCAAATGTTAGCTGCTTTGGGTTTAGTAGGAAATTGAGAATAAGGAAAAAATAAGAGGAAATGAAGGGAAAGCTTAAGGACAAGGCTGGGTTCTATAAGTAATCTTTAAACTGCTAGGAGCTAATTTGATTAAACCTTTAACTATAGAATGAATCAATTTTCTGCTACTGCCCATTTTCAGGGTTGACCTAACGTTATAAACTCGTGTTAACACTTAGATACTGCACTTGTCTGTGGCTGAGTTTGCTACGTAGAGCCCAGATGAGGAGCTGTGCACAAGGCGGGCACCGAGGCAGTGCTCCCCTCTGGCTTGAACTGAGTAACAGTGTGTCTCAGTAGTTCTGCACTAAGCATGATATGATTTAAAATGAGTGAACCTCAGAATACCTACGTGACAACCAGATGAGGGGCCCAAAGAGGACTGGTATTCTACTTGATATCTTTAAAGATTTGTCAGGGCCTTCCAGAAACTACAAAGATACTCACTTGCCCACATTTACACATATACGTATAATATATAAAATGTGTATTTGTGCATGCATAAACACACAGCTACCTCTTTAAAATGGAAAGATTTCTTAAGCACTATTTTGAAATTCTAACATTTAATTATTATAATTCTTATTGAGTTAATTACCTTGATGCCTCAATACGGTACCAATATGAGTCATCAATAGTCAAATCTGGATACTCTACTCGTCCAACTCCAGAGCCAACATCCCAGAGAAAACTTACTTTGCCTTTACGCATTTCTATAGCCAGGAAGTCAACCTATTTGAGAGAAACACACAAACAACAGACATCAGATGTAAAGTACCCTGAAGGAGCAGGCCAGAAGAATTCTCTTCAAAAGGGGCCATTTATTGATATTTGGAATAATTTGAAGACTCACAAATGATATAATCCCAAATGGTTTAATCTATTATGTGATTAAATGATAGTTTATGATTGTATCTTTAAGGCAACACAGATATTCACTCTGCTGAGGTGTATGTATTAAATTAACCAGTTCTAAAGTAGCTCTAATTTTGAGATGAAAATCTTTTCTCAGTCTAATATTTGTGGTAGAGACAAAGGTATATATTTGGAAGCAGAATTCATTATTGTTTTTATCAAGAGCACTGACATTACGGGACAAGCTGATATTTTTTTACTAAAGGTGACCTAGATTGTCTCATTTAAAGGCAAGTATTAAGTTAGGGCATAACTGAACTGTTGAAAAGTTTTACTCATTTTAGAAAGTCCCCATGTTTGCAAAGTCAAATGGTTCAAGTGAAAAAACTACAACTTTTGTAGATTCAGTTTGAATCATAATTCATCATGAATCATGATTCATCATGAATCATAAGGGTTTTTATTGGTAGGGAGTTAGTAAACAATGTGCCATTTTCATTTAACATGAAAGTTCACTGTAATTTCTATTGAAGCCAAAAATAAAAATCTTTACTTCTATTAATATTTCCTTTTAAGTAACTGGATCTGAAAATGTCAACTCAAAGTTAATGCTGGGATTCTCATAAATTAAAGCAGAGGTGCTTAAATACTGTAATTTTTTTCTGCATTTCATTTGTTTTCTAAATTTGACATGCTGGGACTTTGTACAAGATTTTGAGGTTTTCAAATTACATTACACAATTTTGGAATCATGTTACTGAATTCCATACATTTTCCCCATGAGCTGGAGGGCCTCGGACTATACACATATTCAGTAGACCAAAGTAAACCACATATTAAACTTACAAATTTGGCACTTCCAAGGTAAAAAAGGAGGTTGTCAGCAACAGCTGTCTTTACATTGACAACGATATTATTGTAGCTTCCTTTCTTGATTTCCGGCTTGTATGTTCGAATACAGTCACCTCCAGAAGACACAGATACTTTGATCTTCAAGAAAAACAAGGTACAAAGAACCAAGACTAAATGTCTCAGAAAGTTTGAAGTTCCACAAAGCCATCATCATCTCTTCTTTGAAGTTATCTTTCTATCATCAAATAGTATCATTAAATGCCGATATGCAGACACCATTATGCTTTCTAATGAGGGTGCAGAAGAGCAGCATTTTGACAATGAGCTGTTCACAGTCCTATGTCTTGTCAGCATGGTGCTATTTTTTGAAGCATGCATTGAACAAATTCTTACCTTCATTCCTTCCTCCTTTATGGATATGGGAACATTTTCAAAAGATAATTTTATGTGAAGCTAATTGGTAATAGTTTTCATTAAGGTGGTTTAATGAAATTTTACAATTCAAATTTCAATGATTTGGGTATCACTCAAAGTAGGAAATCACTTCCTACTTTTAGTTTTCAAGAAGAAATTACCTACCCTCCCATATTCTTATAGCTGCAAGAGGCCATGTGGATTTTGTTCTAGATGGTCTAATAATAACAAGAATATTAATCATTCCATACAGAACATACATTTCAGAATAAATTATACCTTTTTATTAAGTTGCCAGGGAATGAAACAGAAAATTTTTCCAATGGCTATCACTACTAATATATTTAACAGCCCCTTTTGCTTTTCACTAGTACTTTAAAAAATTACTACAAATTGCTAAGGGAGGAGTTCCTGTACGAACAGAACTGACACTGTTCATACCAATTTTTACTTATTTAGAGAGCCTTCTCTTTAATCCCAAATAAAACCAGTTGATTATTTGATTTAATTTCCTTTGCCTAAGGTACACAACGAAAGGGGAACTTTCAGGAGAGTGATGCATTTGGTTGGACTCTGAAAAAAGCTGTTACTGTGCTCAGTGTTAGTGCTCAAAGTAAGAGGCAGAAACAAGGGAAAATAAAACTTTTCTCTGCTATTGACTCTAATGCCAGCCTTCAGGAAGCCCCTTGGTTCTCACCAGCAGTGAATTTTCCATTTTCTCATTTCTTCCAGTACATTGTGCTGCTTATATAGTTTTCTACACACTTGAAAGAAAGTCAACTAGCACTATTGTTACCCATGAAAGGGCTGTGCAGACACCAACCTCATCTCTATGTTATGGTGATACAAGAAGGTGTCTGCAAGAGTCTAATTAGAATGTGGGAGCAGGTAGCCATGGGACTCCTTTCCTAGCGGAGTAGAAATATGAGGAGTTGTAGTTACCTGCAATGCAAAACTGGTTGGATTCAAGGAGAAAACTGGATGGATTTATGGATCTGACAAGTTCTTGAACAACTTACAGAGATACAACAAATCTGTTGCCTCTCCCGCAGATAAGTATAAGTCATGGGTTTGTATAAATCATGGGTTTGTATCCTATTATGTCCTCACCCAATCAGCTAACCAGATTGCTTCTCCACACAGAGGAGAGCATACAGTAGGAATGAAAGGGAGTTCACTCTAATGGAGCCCTCTGAGGTGACCTGGGGTTGGAATAATCAAAAAGTCACTGCCTAGATTTTCCATATAGATCTAAGGGAAGGTCCTGTTAATTGAGAGACATGGGGTTCATTTTGGTCCCAGAATGTTTGACCTGTGTCTTGGCAGAGATAGTCTTCCTGGCCATATGGTTTTCAGTTGGGGAGTTAGTTCTTTGGTTTATAAATGACAAAATTTCCCTTCAACATAAAGTGGTGAGTAGGTAAATAAAAATGAACTGCAGAAAAATGGGCCAAGAAATGTACAACTTTTACTCTGGATATTAATACCATAAAGCAGATGTGAATGGAATCTGGCAGAGGGTTTTACAGGATAGAGTAGCAGTTATACAAAGGGTTATCTGAGCTTAGAGATCAAAAGGATAAAGTAAAACATGAGAAAAATAATATAGCAGAGGGCAGATAGGGAAATGCTGTCTTTAGATGATTTTAATAAGCAGGAGAAGGTTTAGGATAGGGTGAATTTTTAGGAATTTACAGCAAGTGAACCAAAACTATCATCAGAGAAAGCCCTGGCACTGAACAAAATTAATATTTGAGGCTGGCTATAGGAACCATTGACAGCATAAAATCAAAGGGAAGAAATGAAGGTCTGACTGGAATTCACAAGCAGAACTCAGTAACACATTGAGCTATCCCTGTCAGGAAATTAGATCCAAATTCCTAGTGGGGCTCCACTGGCAGTCCAAAGGAGCTGTGTGTGTGGTTTGATTTATCTTGATTTCATAAATGCTTTATAGGATACAGCCATACATTATTGCTAGTTTAATCACAAATATCTCATTTTTGTTTAAAGAACGCATACTCCTGGTTAAAGAATAACACTCCATAGCTGCTACTTAGAGAAGAAATGAATGAATATGGCTGGAATGTATGACTGTTTGATTCCAGGATGAGTTTCTGTCCTGCTTAGGTATCCCTTGTAGGAATGATAGGTAACTACCATAACTGGTGTTTTGAAAAAGGTGTTGTCCAGAAGACAGAGCACCAGAACAGAAACCTAATTCAATTGATAAAACTCCGTCTATGAATTGAAAGTCTGAGAGAGTAGTCATTTTAAAGTTAAGGGTATTTAACATCACAATTAATCTATTTTATAGCATAGTTTACATATCTAAAAATATGGTTCTCTGAACAAATGATGTTGTTATACTCAATATGCCAGCAATCTATCTTGTAAAGTACCCAGTTGCTCAGCTCTCACACATTTATATTAAAAACCCTCTGATGTTGTTTTCTGGTTTGTGGCTTTGAATACACACTCACTCAGTACCTTAAAAACTCAGATAGCCCAAACTCTTTATAATCACTCTATAGCTACTAATCTCTCCTTTTAAATATCTTGTGTTTTAATTTTCTTGTTTTTTAATTGGAGATATTCTTTTAACAGATTTAAAACAGGTAAATCAAAGGACAGTATTTATAAATTTCTCCAGAAGAACTCTCACAACAGGGGAGGTATTCCTGAAACACATTATCAGGATGTCAGGTTCCATCAGTTATTGAAATTTCTAATGTGAACCATTAGGAAGACTTCTAAACAAATACCACTAAGCATTAGGAACCTTAAAGGCATTTTTCATGCAACATTATTTACTAGTTACTCATCATGAATTCAATTAAAAATTACTGAGTATTCCATTATTATATCTATTGGGTTTTTACTGCATTCTTTCAGCTAGTAATTAAGCCATTCTTTCAAAAAAGATTATTAACCACTCAATTTCAGAGACAACAAACCAAAAAAAAAAAAAGCTACTTTAAAATAAATGTCTTTACATATACAAAATATAAAGGAACAGACCAAACCAAATAAAAACCAAAATCGAAACAGAAATCTGACCATAGAATTGAGGCTACCTGAAGCGGAAGGGCAGGTGAACTGAGTTGGCGGTTTCGGGTGCTTTGGTGGTAGGTATGGGGTGACATACATATGAAGGATGAACTTATTCCCCTAAAACAATACAGTGTTGTAACTCAATATTACCCCACTTAAAAAAATAATTCAATTGAAATTTGAATGTCTTTAATTTTTTGATCATATTGTGTGTGTTATGGCCAAATCCAGATATTCATGCCAGGTTACACACGTATTTATAATATATCATCTTCAGTCAAATATCATCTTCAATTAATACAAAACTAATTTGAAAAAAATTAGTTACTTTTTTCCAGCATTACTTTTCTTTCTTTTACTTTGTATTTTAAAACAGGTTTCATGTACTTACATGCCAGAATTTTCCTTTTTGCCCAGGGACTGCAGGGTGGGGAACACTTACAAATGTGAATATTTGGCCATAATTTTAGATTTTATTATGAAGAAATAAATAAAAATACCCAGATTCCCTACGAATATGAATGACTAAGTCAGAAAATATAGCTAAGTGTGTGATTCACAAGAGAATATTTACTTTTATTGCTTTTTGAAATTAACATTGCAAAATCCAATAGTGGTACAGCAATCTCTTTGCTACTGCCACTGTCACAGTTGGGTTTCTTATTACATTTGTTTCTTCTTCATCATTTTTCTCATCTATCCCACAAACTACTTCTAGATTCATATTCAAAAAGTCCAGTCTGATTATATTACTATCCTGTTCAGAGAACTTTGAGCTTCTCACTTCAGTGAGGTATATGACAGGTACAAATGTCATAAAAAAACCTGCTTCAAGACCCAGAAAGATCTGACCTCCATTGACCTTTCTAGTTCAATGTCCACTTTGCCAGTCATCTTGCAGACTAAATATCCCTTTCATGAAAAGATCTGGAAACTCTCTTCTCTCTCTGCTTCGGCACAAGCTATTTTCTATCCTCAGCATGTTCTTCCTCCACATCTGACCGCTCCTACAACCAGCACTATCACTCTTCAAAACTGGTTCAAATCTTTCCCTTCAGGAAATATGCTGGCTTGCACTAGAGATTTTTCCTTTCTGAATTTTGTAGAACTTCCTATTGCTCATGCACAGTATTCTGCATTATCTGAGACTCATTTGTGTGCATGCTCTTTTAAAAATCTAGAGGTATTATTGCTTTATTTTTGAGGTAAATTGTTTTATGACATTACATACATTTTAGGGGTACAAAATTATAATTTTATGACATACATTAGTGTGCTTACAAGCTTCCAGCCATCATTGCCCAGTCTATGTTCATGTCCTATTTCTTCTACTACATTATAAACTTTGAATGGAAGAACTGCCTCATTCAACTCTTTGTACCTTACAGGAAGAAGCCCTGAAAAGGCAGCCCTAAGTTGCCTTTTCTACATTGTTTAAATCTTAGATAAAACTCCAAACCTCAAAGTAATATCTGATTTCTTTTCCTCATGTGCTTCACATACACAAAAATCACCTGTCAGTTAAGTGTATGTCTTCTTAACCCTAACTGCTTTTTTTTAAACTCTGAGTTTATGTATCATTTCACTAGTCCTTTGTTGTCATTTTCTAAGCTTTTCTTCAGTCAGTCATGTATTCCTTTTCAAGACTTACCTTGAATTTATTGCTTTGGCCTTGGTTATAGGAAGTAGCTATTTTCAAATAGGAAAACAGATGTACTGTCATTCAGAAATTACATACTTGACCACTAGTAAAAGTATAAAGTTGATGGATTGAAAAAAGGTTTTTGTGGTTTTTCTAGCTCCAAAGTTGTTCGGAAAATAGAATTTTATGTGAAAGATTTAGGTATCTAAAAATTTTGAGTTTAAACTTAACAGGAACACTTTATTTTTTCCTTTTATTTCTAAATTCATCATGGGTTGAATTTATTGGGCTAGCTAAAGTTTCACACTGGCACTAAGAGATTTCTGTCCTACTTCATTAGGAGTCTACCTTCTAGAATGTTCCACGTCTGTTCTAGTCCCTAGGGATGCCATCTTTTAGAAAATTCTGCTTCTATCCTAATTGTCTTCTAATTGGTTAATAAAATGCAAAATTGAGACAAATGAGGTGTTTCCCATTCTTTATGCCCAAATTTAAAAACATTGTAGAGGTTTCCTTGTAACCAAAATAATTCTTGTTACTTATAGTCAGACAAAATAATGTGCAGAAAAGAGTCGCTTCTTTTTGTTATTAGTCCATATAAACTTGTTTATTCATTCTTGTTACAACTCCACTAGTAGGCTTTTATTCCTTCCATCAACAGCAAGGTACCCTTATCTTTGCCTTTTTAGTGTACATTATTAAGTTCCATTCTTGCTATTTTTATTATTCTATTCAAACAAAAGGAAAATATATCAAATTTTCCATTTTCAAAATGATGATCATTCTTCTCATGACATATCTTTGGAAACTGTTCCTTCTGGGAATATTATCAAAATTACAATCAGTTACTAATAACCAAAAATAAATAGAGCTTACAGAATTGGCTTGCTTCCTGGCTTGGTTTATCAGTTCCTTTATCTCAGAAATGTTTTTCTTCAGGTTATCTTCAAGTTCCTTGATAGGTTTGAGTTTATCTATCAAGCGATCAGCTTCTTGTTCTAGATTTTTCACAGTGGCATCTGCATCCGCAACTTCATAGAACAAGATTGGGGGGTGGGGAGAAGGGAGAGAGAGAGCAAGAGCAGTATGGTTAAGTTGATGATGGAATGTATTTCATCTTATTCACGTGACAAAAGTAAGGCCAAGGTTGATGAAGCAAAGTTTGTGATGACAAATGGGAATATTTTAGCTGGGACACAAGCAGGCCAGCAATGTTAGAGAAGGAGGCCAACGCTTTGGTTTTGTGATTAAGATGAAAGTCAGCATTGAAAGTAGAGAATACGTACTTAATTCAGTGCTTCATTTTTAGCCTTAGTCTAAATGCTAACCATTATGGAATAGAATTTTAGTCACAGATCAAGGAAATTAAAGTGTCTTTAAAATGTCACCTACTCTGTCCAAGCCAGAATTATATTTATATCAGGGTTCTCACATAAAATTGGTTTTCTTTTTCTCACTGTTTTTCCTTTGCATGTTTTAAAGAGAGAAATTATCAAAATGTCTTTGGAAAACATTTAATGTAGAACAACCTAGAATGAAGCCCTATGTTATATTTTAATTAAATCTTTCATGCTGCAGTTCATTTTCATTTTGAAGAATAGTTGATTATCCTACTCTCTGTATTAGGTTGAACCATATTGAACTACATTTTTTGGTAGGATTTAAAAAAAAGGTTGCATATTGACAATTTTAAAAGGGGGTTAACCCAAAATAATTGAAGGTCATCACTGATCCGTAGAATTTCAGCATGTGCTTTTCATAGGAGGGCAAATGACACATGGAAAACCAATTATTCTATCTCTAGGATGCTGGCAGTCTTATCCAAACCATGTCATTTATTATCAGATTGAGCATGCATTGTTCTGCTTTCTGTCATTGTGACCCTGATAAAAAAGGAAAACTGCTTAAGGTCCAAGGCTATGTGCCCTGCTAGACTATGAATGATCTGCTTTCTGGCTGACATTGGGCCACTGAGAGCTAATCCTCAGGAATGAATCAAATGTGCTCAATAGGAAGAAAATTACTACTTTTAAACTAGGTTTTGAAGTATTTTGAAACCATACTAAAAAATACGAGTTACATTATTAGTGATAGGTCTATTATCATAACTTAATAGAGTTGCTACATCAAGAATTGAGTGTTTTCTTCGCGAAATACTGGTTATTGGGGTCAAAGTCCTGGTTACATAATTATATGCTTTCAATAAATCATGTATTTGGTTTTCCCTTTCCTTTAACACTCTGGTATTACTTTGATATTCCATGAATTATTCTAGAATTGAGGGAAAATGATTTAGATTTAGATTCATGAAAAATAGAAAGACCGGTTAAGCAAATACAACTTAAACTTAGGCAAATAATAGATTCTTTTCTTCTAGAGTTCCTAGAAGTTTGTCTCCAACATTTCAAAATGGAGGTTCCCCACTTCCTCACTTCAGCCTCATCCAACCCCCAACTCACTCCACCCCATCCCACCCACCCCACCCCTGTTTCTGAACAAGTTTAAATCATATGGAATTATCTACCTGAAGGTTTTAAAAATAAATCATCTGAGATACTGAGTCTAATGCTTACTTGTGTGGTAGTTTCTGAACACTTTTATGATTATTTGGTTGTGTAGATTTTAAAATCACTTCAGAAATAGATTTTGATAACAGAAAATTATGTTAGGTTTTCAAATTTATTAGCATAGAGTTTTGCCAAGTACTCTTTTATGTGTTAATGTTCCTCTCTTATCTAGTTATAGCTTCTTTTCTATGTTTTCTTTTTCTTGATCAAACCTGCCAATCTTTTAAAAATTTTTTATCTTTATTTTTTAAAGACCCATTTCTTGGATTTAGCAAGTCTATTATTTACTTTCTTCTACTTTATTAACTTTAAAAATCTTCTTTCTTTGATTTAATTTTATTTTTTTCCAACTTAAAGAGTTGATTGCCTAAAGTGTTTATTTCATTTGGTTAGTAATGCAATTGTGCCAGTGATTCACTGAGGATGGACTTAGTCATATTTCTCAGGTTTTGAAATGTGGACTTATCATTATTTTATAGTTTCACTTTTGACTTTGAATTTAAACTATGAGAAATATAGGAGGCCAGTTATTAATATCTAATTTTATTAATTTTGATATGTGCTTCTCCAAATCTAACACTCTAGCAGTTGAGAATTTACATATAAAGAAAGGGAAATGTAAACTTCAGTAGGGAAAAGTAGCAACAGTATAGTACTAATCTACACTAATCCTATTGCAAAGAAGTCATTTGAACTTCAGTGACTAATTTTGTGCAATTAGAAGCATCATAATTCAGATCAACCTTTCGAGGAATCCAGTTGCTACTCAAGTTAGCATGACGCAGATATTTCACTATTTTTTCAATCACAATTGACAACAGCTCATATGAAATACATTCATAAACTAGCTTTATGTAAAAGATTTCTTTTATATATCTAGCACTAATACACTAATACTGTGACACTAGAATAACTAGTTATATAATATTTAAAACAATACTGAAATACAGCACATGCAAAGCTGAAGCTTTTTATAATAGGCAAACAAATATAAAGTGACTAAAAGACATGCAAGTAAATATATATACATACTGATTTCTGCAGGTAATTTCATATGGAAGGAAAACAAAAAGAAATTAGAAAATCAGTGAGGAAATATTTTTATAGATATTATAAAGTAGTAACTATAAAAATGGTACTTTTCACAGAAGATACTAATTACAAATGTATCCCATTTTAAGTCAACTAATGTCACGAATAAAAGTACACAAAGCATGTTATTTATCAGGTCACTGTTCATGTTACAATTTTTTTCCTTGTAATGTTTTAATAAGGTAGGAATAGGTCAGTTTAATTTTACAGATATTTAACTATCTCTTGATACAGGATAAGATCACAAAATAGAGATAAATATTATGAAAAGGCCACTGTCAGACTGTCAGCTGAGAATAAATCTGAAATTGAATGAAATAGTAACTTAATTATATAGAAGAGTTATATTTATGTTAAAACTGTAATTTGGGGGAGGAAATATTGTGATTTGATATGCATCTGAACCATTTATTCAGAAGGAATCTTTGAGCTAGATATAGAAAGAAGCTATCTCTGGGCTTACATAAGAAAATTTTTTTAAATGATTAGATCTCCTTTTCTTCCTTAAATAAAGAATAAGTTCTGTTAGCTTTGAACTGCATGTTCTGAGTATCTGCGTTATTTCTTACTCATGGAAGAGCCATTTTGCAGTATCATTACCATTTGATTTGAGACTAGGGTACTGAAAAATCAGGTTACACACACCAGTCAAACACACACCTGAACTACAGAGCAAATAAGGTCAATTTAATAGTGTTTTTGTTATTATACGCTACAAATATTCCGATATCCAACGAAAATGCTGATATTTAAAGAAGGCTAGCTTCTTTGCAGTGCAAGTACAAAAAAATCATGCCTCTTCCTTGATGAGATCACACACTAAAATAATATTTTGCCACTTGATAGAATGGGAAAATATATAAAAGTCCTAGTGTTTATTGACTACTTTTAATAACTTAAATGATCATTATATGAAATTCTTCCACATTTCCTCAGTAAATCCTTATTAACTCAATGTAATTTAATGCAATATACAAAAGATGAGATGAATTGTGTTCTTTATGTTCCTGAAAATGATACCTAATTGCAATTTAAATAACATATCAATATTTTAAAATTTTAAGACATTTCAAGCTTACACCATTTTAATTCTGTGTCCTAACAGGCTTGCTAATAAACATGCTCCTTGGTCTCTATTTTCCATGGAATTTTATCAACTCTGAGGACATGATTTTCCAAATATAACTATATTTTCAATCACATTGAAGACTTAAAATGTATTTGGTATCTTTAAACCAAATGTTATGCAGGCTTTGCTAATTCCTAATTTCCTCTTTGTTGAACAACATTTGGATGAAAAGAACACTGGTATGGAGTTGGGAGACTTGGATTTTAGTTTTGCAACTGCAGGACACCCAATTGCTGAGCTCGGTCAATGAAACAAGGAGGGCAGACTGCATTAATGAGGGTCTCCTCCAGCTCAAACAGTTATGAGTTTAGGATCCTTTTATGCTGTGAAGAAATAAATGACATAAAGTGAAAAAGGAGATCTTACTGTTCTTTGAAGGATCTTTTACCACAGCATTTGTTTGGGCTACGCTGTCTGCTAGTTGATGGTAATTTTTCTTCAGGCCATCAAGGTTCTGGTGGAGGTCTTTAATCTGAGCCAGTACATCTTTTGCTGTGTCATTGGCTTGTCTTGCTTTGTCCTTAACAGCTTGCAGTTTAGCAGCTGTGTCTGTCAACAGAAGAGGGTATGAAGAAGAAAACAAAAGGTCTGGAGTTAGTGGCTTAGTCCATGCTTGTCAAAGCAAGGCTGTGGCTGGCTGAGCTCAGGGACACACATACAAAGAGAAAGGTCAAATTCTGTCTCGTTTAGTTTTACCAAATGAAGAAAATGTTTTGGTAAATTAAATGTTCTCAGACACCTTTGCTACAAATACCTGATTAACTCTTTAAACAGCAGAATGATTATTCTAAGCATTCATTGTACAAGTATACTGTGATTTCCTGCTGAACATGTTAAAGAGAAGTACTTACCCCATTGAGCCATATAGCATTATCCAAACTAAATTTAATAGTTTAATCTGAACTTTCAGATGGGAAAAATCAAACTGTTTAAATTTTTCAAATAGGATAGACCATGTGTTTTTACTTTTATGTTTGTTTTCAGCATTGGGAATTTTCTATTTATGTCCTTATTGCTGAAGAAATGACATGAAAAGCTGGGAAGTTATTTAGGTTTTTTAATGTTATAGAGAATCATTAGGATTTTAATATTTCCTGTGTTATCTGAGTGCATGCATTTGTTTTATCGATCATAATTTGTATAAAGAGTATATTTTATACATACGAGGGCTACTAATATGTATAGAATAGTAGTTAAGCCTATAGGCTCTGAAGTTCAACTATGGGTACAAATATCACAAGTGGCATTTTTTAAAATAATAATTTATTCTCTTAATTGTGGTTGCATTAGGAGTCTCCACTTTAGCTATCACCACTGCAGGGTATGCTCCACCAAGTCACCCACAGAACTTTTGTACTTGCTTCCCCCTTTGTTCTTACTTCCTTCCCCAGACCCCTTAGGATGCTTCAGTTCTACAGTCAGTTTCCAAGAGTAAGTTTTTAAGATTATCTTTCTCTGATTCTTAGTTTGTTTTCTCTATATTCCACATATTTGTGACACCATCCAGTATCTCATTCTGCCTTATTTCACTTAGCATTATCTCTATCTCTGTTGCTGCAAATTGCCTGATTTTATCTTTTTTGAATGCTGACTTATATTCTATTGTTTATATGTACCACATTGTCTTCATCCACTCTTCTGTTTGGGGGTATTTAGGTTGCTTCTATATCTTGGCTATTGCAAATAGTGTTGCAATAAACAGAGGAGTGCAGATTTTCTTTCAAATTAGTGTTTTTGTGTTCTTTGGGTAGATACCTAGGAGTGGAATTGCTGGATCATATGGCAGATCAATCTTAAGTCTTTTGAGAAATCTCCACACTTCTTTCCACAGGGGTTGGACCAGTCTACATTTCCATCAGCAGTGTAAGAGGATTCCTTTTTCTCTACACCCTCACCAGCATTTGTTTTTGCTCATTTTGATGTGAGTCATTTTTAGTGGCTTGTGATAGTATCTCATTGTGGTTTTGATTTACATATACCTAATGATAAGTGACAACGAGCACTTTTTCATGTGCCTACTGGCCATCTGCATCTCTTCTTTAGGGAAGTGCCTATTTAGGTCCTCTGCCCATTTCTTGATTGGGTTATTTGTTTTCTCTTTGTTGAGTTGTATGTGCTCATTGTAGATCTTTGCTATCAGTCCTTTGTTTGATATATGTTTTGCAAATATTTTCTCCCAATCTGTAGTGTCTCTTTGTTCTAGTTACATTCTCCTCCACAGTGAAGAAACTTTTTAATTTGATGTAGTCCAATTTGTTAATACTCTCTTTTGTTTGTCTTGCTGCTGGAGATGGTTCTGTAAAGAGATCTCTGAAATGTATGTCATGGAGTATTTCCCTTATGTTTTCGTCAATGTATTTAATTGTTTCAGGTATAACATCCATTTTTTGATACAACATACATTATGAGTTGATTTTTGTGTAAGGTGTGAGATAATGGTCTAGTGTCATTCTTTTGTATGTGGCATCCCAGTTTTTCCAACACCACTTATTGAAGAGGCTTTCTTTGTTTCAATGTGTATTCTTCACTCCTTTGTCATAGATTAAGTGGCCATATATGTGCGGGCTTATTTCTGGGCTCTCAATTCTATTCCATTGGCTTGCATGTTTGTTACAGTACCATGCTGTTTTAATTATAATTGCTTTATAATATAGTCTGAAGAATAGACTTGTAATACCACTATTTTTCTCCTTTTTTGTTAAGACAGCTTTGGCTATCCGAGGTCTTTTGTTTTTCCATATGAATTTCAGTAATGTTTGTTCCATTTCTTTGAAGAATGTCATTGAAATTTTTATTGAGATTGAATATAGATATATAGATTGAATATAGATATATAGATGTATATATTGATATATATTAATATGTAGGTTGAATATAGATATATGGATCTATATATATAGATTGCTTTGGGTAGGTTGGACATTTTGACAATGTTGATTCTTCCTATCTATGAGCAGGGAACAGTTTTCCATTTCTTTTTGTCTTCTATTTCCTTAACAATGTCAGTTTTCTTTGTATGATGTACAATAATTTTATTTCACCTCTTTTGTTAGGTTAATTCCTAGATATTCAAATATTTTGGGTGTTATTGTAATTGGATGTTTTTTTAAATTTCCTCCTCTTCCAGTTCACTGTTTGCATATAGGAAGGCAATTGATTTTTGTGTATTGATTTTGTAACTTGCCAATTTGCTGAACTGGTTTCTTGTTTTGATTAATTTTTCCATGGAGTCTTTTGGGTACTCAATATAACAATTAATAAGTTTTATCTTAATTTTCTGTCTTTCTCTTATCTGATTATTGTACCTATCTGGTATTATGTTGAATAGTAGTGGTGAGAGTGGGCATCCTTGTCATGTGCCTGATCTTATTTCAAAAGCTTTTCATTTATCCAGTTTTCAAGAGTTTTCATCACAAATCAATGTCTATTGATAAGATCATGTAGTTTTAACCTCTTTTTTGTTGATGTGGTGAATTTCTTTGATTGATTTTTGGATGTTGAACCATCCCTGTGCCTCTGCTATAAATTCCACTTGGTCTTGACGTATGATCTTTTTAATGCATTTTTGGATTCAGTTTACTAAGATTTTATTGAGGATTTTTACATCAGTATTCATTATGATACTGGTCTGTAGCTTTCTTTTATTGTGTATCTTTTGTTTGGTTTTCGTAGTGGAGTAATGTTGGTATCATAGAATGTGCCTGGAACTGTTCCTTCTTCAATTTTTTCAGGATGTGTTTGAGAGGATAGTTATTAGCTCATCTTTGATAGTTCGGTAGAATTTATTTGTGGGGTCATTTAGTCCTGGGCTTTGATTTTTTTGGGAGAGTTTTGATTACTGTTTCAATTTCCTTGCTTGTGATTGTTCTGATCAGGATTTCTATTTCTTTCCTATTCTGTTTCAGATGGTTATATAATTCTAGGAATTTATCCATATCTTCTAGATTGTTAAATTTGTTAGCAGATAAATGTTTAGAGTAATCTTTAATTATCCTATGAATTTCTGCTGTGTTGGTTGTAATTTGTCCTCTTTCATTATTGGTCCTATTTTATTTGAGTTTTCTTCCCTTTTTTCTTGTGAGTGTGTGAGACGTTTTATTCAAATCCCACTTTTTGTAATGGTCCTAGGTAACGTGTCTCAGTAAATAGGGATAAACATGCTACTCCCCTTGCAAGAAGATCACACAGGAATGTTTCAATTGTAAATATTTTTGAGAGCTGCAACATTTATGGAACTGAACTTACCCAAGAAATGTGTTAAAACTCAGTAGACTCTCACCTATTATTGTAAGCACTGTAATAAACTGTAACTTTGTGGTAGTACATCAACATTTAAGAGAAAAGTGTCTGTCTGATTTTATTCTTTTCCACTAAGATAAGATTTCCTGGGCTGAAACATGGAAGAACAATATAATAAAATGACTATATTTTCCTTTATGTAATATATTCTTAAGGACATTTTCTAAGATAACAAATGATAAGAAATATCAGAGTGTAAAATACAGTCTAGTTTCTCAGGTGCACAAAGAAGAATTCATAAGTAAGAAAACCAGTAAATATCCTGACAGCAGTACAGGTGTAATTTTAGAAAAAATGATAGAAGAAATAATATTTTTTAAAAGTTCAAGTCAACTGACACAGTTTATAGCATCATAAATGCTTACCATTCGGAATGGCTGATAACTTTCCCAAAGTGTCATTCAAAGCCCTCAAGAGAGCCCCATTTCTAGCATCAGCGTTTTCTAATCTGGTTGTCAAGCCATTCAGGTGGTCATCATTTTCTGTGAACAGAAAATGAAAAAGGATGAAACAATTTAAATCAACTCTGAGTTTATACCAGCAATTTGAAGTTACTTTAAAATTAATAAAAAGTAAGAAAGGGGATTTAATTTTCCTATAAATGTATTTCAGATTATAATAAGATATATATTTATATGACCACAAAACACTTCAGTATGTGCAACAATTGTACATTTTTCTTGGTTTTTGATCTATAACTGATTTAATTTAATGGTTTTCTTTGGAGAAAAAACTTTAAAAGAATCAGTCTTTTATTGCATTTGTGATAATGCCCTCTTGTTATCACTCCCACTAATGTCACTCATTAAATAATTTATTATCGAAGTGGATTGTTAGATAAACTTTTTAAAGTCTTAGATATAATTTTTTAAAATATTAATTTTATTTATTTATGCATACAAGAACTGGGGTCTAGGCTAGAGGTGTGGGGGTGGGTTGGGTGAGAGGATTCACCAGAGACAGAGTGAGGAAGAGAACAGGTGGATCTACTGAAATACACTGCTGAGGGAAGCAGCGGGAGAGGCAGGAGAGGTTTGCTGTGCCATATGGGTTAGATCCCTGGCTGGGGATCAAACTCAGGGCACAGTGGCTGGCAATACTTGATAGCACTGAGACTTTAATCACTGCGCCACCAGGGAGGCCTGAATAGATATCATTTTTAAGCAGTATCCCCAAAATTTCATAAACATCATTTATAAATATTTGAAACAAAATCAAAGGAATAGAACAATAACTTCTGAAATATTTCTGTCAAAATGTCATTTTTTATAAATGAAAGAATATTTTATATACTGTTTACTTAAATAATTAGGTTTTATACAGGTTTTTACTTGTTACTTTAGTTGATCTCATTATTATTAAAATATGTCATTTAGTAGTGATAATATAACAAATGTAAGTATTCCAGCTTTTTTCTGCTAGTTTTTAATGTACAAAATTTAGGTTAATTTGTATAGTGGATATAAAACACTATATGCCCATTTCAGTTCCTAAGTTATATTATTTTCAATTTTAGGCCCTCAGACTATGTTTTACAAGTAAACAGATTTTCTTTTTTTGTCAATCACAATTATCTACCTTTTAATTTTTCTATTATTTTCACTGTGCTAATATAAAAACCTTTGGATATTATTGTGAAATAAAGCTAGTGTGATTATCACTATGACACTTATATAAATTATTTGAGAATAATTGAAGGGATGCTTTTTTGTCAACCTGAAGAATGTTACTGCTGTCCCTCAAGTTCCAAAGCAGTACATTTGATGGTTCACTTTCAGAACTAGAAAATCAACATGTGAATATTCTAACCCCATTCTTATTTATATGTTCCAGAAATTTGATTCCAATCTTTTCTTAATATATCCTTTCTTACACTTTGATTTTTTTTTTTTAATGAAGCAGTTCTGGAATTTCTCAAACCAAGACAAAACACTAGGATTGCAGCTATGACCATGAAAACATTATATAACTATTGCATGAAAACTTAGAAAATTAATCATTTTAAGGCTGATTGTAAATGAAAAGATATATGAGGCTATAACCGACTTTGAAGGAAAAATGGAAGCAAATTGTCTAGTTTGAATTATGATATGGCTAAAGAAACAGAATTGTTAATAGCTAAAAGAAAATTCAACCAATTCTTTAATTTTGATTTTTGGAGACTAAGCCAAGAGTACATTCTATAATCCAAGTTACATTTTGCAAGAATTCCTTTTCACTCAAATCACTTTACTATAATTTATCCACTTGTAAATTAATTTTTCTTCTTATTACTGAGATTTCTAAAGAATCTGCCCCCAAGTCAACCCCATGATCCAGTGCAACTGTGAAGAAGGTGGAACAGCTGTACAAGGAAGAATCTGGGCGAAAACCACGAACTGTGTTCCTGTCAATTGGTTTGACGAGGTGGTTACACCCAGTCATTACTTCTTATACATCTGGTCCTCTTACAGTATGTTATTCCTGTTCCCTAGTGTGTTTTTATGATGTATCCTATCTCTGATTGCTCCTTTTGCAGGTACCTGTAGACCAGAGTGATCACACATGAAACCTCGGGGATCAACTAATCAAGCCCTTGTTTATAGGGAAGCATTTTACTTAGAAACCTCAACCTGATCCCAAAGTGATAAATTAGATTTTGTTCAGTGTGGCCATCGTGTTTGTCAGGCCCTCCATAAGTCATCTGGGGGGGTCTCCCTGGTGGCCTAGGGGATAAGTCTCAGTGCTATCACACTATGGCCTGAGTTTCATCCCAGGCCAAGGAGCTAACCTACATATGGTGCAGCAGACCTCCTGTCTCACCCCTTAGCAGTGTCTTTCAATAAATCCACCTGTTCTGTTCCCTACTCTGCCTCTGGTGAATCTTTTTACCCCCTGTACCTCTGGCCTACACCCCCATTCTTCTACACATAAATACATAAACAAATAAATAAATCTAAAAAAAAAAAGTCAGCTGAACTGAATATGCTCTTCCAATCCAGGGTGTAGTAGAGCCTCAGGAAAGGAGGGACAGTGAACTTGTCTGGTAGCAGGTTGTCCCAAGACTTATGATATCAGATTAGAGGGGAGTCCCTTGTTCAGTCAGTGGATGAGCAGCTAAACCCACCAGATATGAAACCCCACAGATGATTCCTCTAGGACAAGCTCTAACTAAAGCCTAACTATGGGCCTGCAGGCTTGTGTTGCTTGGCCAGCAAGATATCCTACAAGAAATTGAATTTGCATCCCTTTTAAGCAACACAACTGTTCTCTGGTTCCAATGGTTCCTGCTTTTGCGCAGTTGTCACTATAATGTAACTTCTTTTTGACTCCTGAGCCAAATACAACCTGGTTTTATTTTTTAAATTTTCTCTTCTCATGCCCTAAAAAAAGTAACTAAAATTCTGAATGAGTAATCAGAAAAAGATTACTTTGATCCCAGACTCTAGTAGGCCCGAAATCTAGGCTTCACTACATCCATTTAATCCAAATATGCTTTTGAGGGCCTCCCCGGTGGCCCAGCAGTTGAGCGCTGGGTTGCAAAGCTGCCCGCAGCCTCTACAGCGCTGGTTCTATCCCCAGCTGGTCCCCGGCCACCGGAGGAGGGTCCCACATGGCGCACAGACCTCTCCTGCCGCCTGCTGCTCCCCTCAGCAGTGTGTTTCGTCAGTCTGCCTGCTCTGTTCCCTGCTCTGGCTCTGGTGAATTCTCTCACCCTCCCGTGCTTCTCACTGTACCCAGTGCTTGTATAAATAAATAAATAAATAAATAAATCTTTAAAAAAAAATTGCTTTTGCCAGTGAAGTGTATTTTTTTAAAATAAATTTTATTTTTATATTCCCCTTACAATTGCAATCCCCTTATTTTGACGCCAATCCCTCCCCTCCCCGCCCCCCACCACCCATAGAGTGTCTCTGGTTCATAGTTGTTTGTTGATTTTGATTTTCTGAAGTGTATTTTTTTTAAAGCTTTCACACACTCATGTATGGAAAGGCTGATTCTGGCAATTGGTAGGATATAAATTCAAAGATAGTGTATTTTTAATAATAAAACAATATTTTAGAAGAAATTTATCTCTTGCATCATACTTTGGTTTAATAGCACCACACTATTCCTGTTTATTATCTTTTTCTAACCTAAAATAATAACATAGACTCTTTACAGGTTAGTGATTGCAAGTGTACAACATTCACTATCTCATAACCTGTCTGATACATTTATTAGGATTAAATGACTGAATGTTTCGAGGATCACAGAAAAGAAGGAAAGTATCAATTAATTACTCAGTTAATGTTTGGAATATATTTGGTATTGTTCTGTGTGTTAGCACCCCATGTCATGCAATAAGTACATTGATTTGATATTCTTGGGAACAGATTTTTTAATTTCATATGTTTTATCTATTTTACAGAGATGTTATCTATTTGTTCCCAAGTTATTAAACAATTTTGCTTACATTGGGAAAAGACAAAGATTAGGATAAATTAAGAAGTATATAAAACTGAACTACTCCACATAATGGTAAGGTATATAGTCATAAAATATTAGTATTCTCAGACTTCTAATATGCAATTATTACAGCATTTCTCCCCCTATACATATTCTACGTGTTTGTTCAACTGGCTAATTATCTCTCACCCATCTGCACACTAGCATCAATTCACCTGGTGGTATTAATTTATCCTCTTGATCATCAATTTACACCAAGCCTCATAACCATCAATAAAATAATTTTTATCTCCATTTAGTCAGCATAATGTAGACTGGCCTCAAATTGCAAACTTGAATAAAAGCAAATATACTTTTAACAAATGTATATTCAAAAATTAAAAAGCAAAACAAATTGCTCCTGGCAAGTTCAGACTCCCTCAAGGCAAGGGCAACATAAAAATGGCAGGGAACAACACTAAGTCATTCATGACTAAGGCGCACTCGCTCACGGGGTTGTACTGAATTGAACCAAGTAACAAATTAGAAATATGGAGGGTATACTGGCCTCACCATTTTTATTCCTTCTAACTCCAGGCACCACAGAGAGAGAAATGACTAAATCTCTGTTTTAATAGCTGCTGTCAAGAGTTTTGCTCTGTAGGGCCTATTTCAGCAGTTCCTGATGGTAATATATGGCATATCCCTGATTAACAGCCATTTTATAACTTGTGTAATTGGCCACAAATCAGGGGGCTGTCATAATGTAGCAAGAAAACATTCCCATCTCTGTCAGAGCTTGGCTTAGTTTTTTGGAGGAATTATTACTTGAGTAGTTTGTGGGTTTTCATTACTTTAAATAATGTACTACCTGAAGTACAAAAAGAGACATTTAAATTAATGAACATTATTGTTTCTTAACACTTTCTACCATGCCTATCTTTAGATTTCTTTTTCTCTTGGAAAAAGAAACCTCCTTAAAATGGAATTCTTTCTTCATTTTTATAATACTGGTGTTTTTGGGGAAACAGAAGCCAGGGCAGGGCTGGGAGTTGGATGGAGGAAGTGAGACATTCCACTCAGGTGTGAAATTTAAAGGGGCACCAAAAAGCTCAGTAATTGAGATAAATACAGTTTAATTCATCTTTTAAAAAATCAAAATTAAATTAAAAGATGAATGTACAAAATATTAAAATTTAAATGAATAAAAACAGGATCTGACCATGTACTTGAACAGTTCACCTCTTTACCATACTCTAGTCTCAGCTCTGGGTAAAGGTATCCGGTAGGAAAGAGTGAACACAAAGTAATGACATCAACTCAACTGTCCAATAGGTAAACCAATTTGACTCTGTGTTATTATCAAAGTGATCTTTATCATAGAATTATGTGTATAGGGAGACTTATTTTACCTGTGATACACAGCCCAAGGCATTTTACTGTCAAGTGCCATTTTTAATGGAGTCAGAACTTGTAAATTCATATCAGCCTTTTATATGAGGTGAAAGACTATTAAAGCATGATAAATATAAATGATTATAAAACCTCTTCTCTTTTAAACTTAGTGAAGTCCAACATTGTTTGCTTAGTGAAAAAAGACATTTCCTAATTTGTGTCAGTGTCTATTATATACAGTAGAAAAAGAAAGTGAAAATGAAGATCTTGTGTATAACCTCAAGGAGACAGAACGTAAGGTCACAGTTGCAGTGGTTTGACTTGTCCCTGAGGAAGGTTTGCACAGAGAAAGGGCATGTAACTCAGACAGAGTGTTAGGTTTCCTAGAGAAGATGACAACTTGCTTAAATCTTGAAGGTTTGGTAGGTGGTAGATGAAAAAGAAGGAAGGATTGCAAAACATCCCTAAGAAAAGGAATAGCCTTGTGAAACTGGAGGCTTGGAACACAAGCATGTTTTGGAGTGACCATAAATATTTCAGTAAGGGTGCAAGTGTGGAAGCCAGGCAGAAGATGGTAAGGAATTAAAATGGAGAAAGAAGCAGGAGGCAATTCAAATGAGAAACAGTAAATATTTAGATGAAATAAATATAATGGCTTATCAAGAGAGCTGCTATATTGATTTTTTTGTCACCACCACAATCCTTTATATCCCTTTCGAATTCTCTTTCTTTTCCCTCTCTCTTAATCTCAGGAACTTCACTTCATTTCTTAATATTCACTAGTTGGCTTTTTTTTTTTTAAGATTTATTTATTTATTTATACAAGTACTGGGTACAGTCAGAAGCACGGGAGGGTGAGAGAATTCACCAGAGCCAGAGGGGAGAGAAGAGCAGGGAGACTGACGGAAGTACACTGCTGAGGGGAATAGCGGGTGTGGCAGGAGAGGTCTGCGCGCCATGTGGGACCCTTGCCCGGCGGCCGGGGATCGAACCGGCGCTGCAGAGGCTGCGTGCAGCTTTGCAACCCAGTGCTCAACTGCTGCGCCACCGGGGAGGCCCAATATTCACTAGTTTTTATAAAAATTTTATTTTGACAAAGTTTTCACTATATAAATGTCCAATATTTGTCTTTGTCATTTTGACTTGCTTTATTACACATATTCCCCTCAAACACCTGCCATTTTACCGTAAATGATACTGTCTTTCCTTATGGTTGCAGAGTATAGGTATATCATATCTTTTTATTTTTTGGTTTATCAAAGTTAATCTTTTATTTAAAAAAATTTTTATTGATATATATTTTACATCATTTTTCATTTTTAAACAATATTTGCTTTTTTTCCTTCCCCACAGCAGGTGTAGTCCCCATAGAATTTCATTTCCTTCACCAATTCACCCGTGCACCATCTTTATAGTTCCCTGTGTATCACATCTTCTTGAGCTAATCTTTTATAGCTAGGTGTTTGGGTTGTCCCCATGTCCTAGCTATTGTAAACAGCATTACAATTCATTGTAGAGCATTTAGTTTTTGAGTTTGGGGGCTCACATTCTTTGGATAGATACTTAAGGATGGAATTGCTAAGTCATATGGTATTTACTCATTTAATTTTTGTTTTTTTAAGATTTATTTTTATTTATGCATACAAGAACTGGGTACAGGCCAGAGGTGTGGAGGGTGGGAGGATTCAACAGACAGAGTGGGGAACAGAACAGGCAGATCTACTGAAATACACTGCTGAGGGGCGCAGCAGGTGAGACATGAGAGGTCTGCTGAGTCATGTGGGTAGTTCCCTGGCTGGGGATCGAACTCATTCTGCAGTGGCTATAGGTTGCATCTTAACCGCCTGTGCCACCAGGGAGGCCCACCTCATTTAACTTTTAAGGTAAATTCAGATAGCTTTCCATAATGGCTGCACTAGTTTATATTCCCAAAAACAGTGTGGCAGGGTTTTTCTTTCTCTACTCTCCAGCATTGGTTGCTGAGGATTTTTTAACATGTGCCATTTTCATGGGTGTGAGATGATATCTTGTGGTTTTGGCTTGCATCTCTCTTATTGGGAGTGATGATGAACATTTTTTACATATCTATAGGTGTTCTAGACATCTCTTTGGTGTCCATTTACTAATTGAATTCCTTGCTTTTCTAATATCGAACAATACATACCAAATTCAAAACCTATCATCTATCAGTTTACATACTTTGGGAATAAAATACATGAAAAATATATTTAGAAAGGTATGAAAACTTCTCAGGAAATGTGATCCACTAAGAAAACTTAGTTGCCATGGACATTTATATTATACCTGCCAAATGAATTCCTTTGTTACTTTCATTTCCGAAACCAAGACAGAGTTTGGTGCCTTAAAAAACTTACCAGTTTAATTGATAGATTATTCTACTTTAGATATAAGTAAAATGATGGTATAGAAATTAATTTAAAAATGATGAAATATTGTCCAATACAAGGTGAGTTGTGAAGATAAAATATTATAAAACTAGTAAGATAGTTTACTTGCATTAGATCCAGATAGTAAAAATAACCTTAAAAATCATGGTAAAACAATTACACATTTTCAATTGTGTGAGAAAATATCCCACCAATTACAACTCTAGTAAACCTGAAAATAAGAATAGAGAGAGGTCACACTTACCTTTCACATTATTTGCTAACTTCTTGGCTTCATTAAGAATCCCAAAACTTTTCTGAAGAGACGCTTTGGCATCCTCTTTTAATGAGCCCTGAGGACCTGTTGCCTGTGAATAGAAAATATGTCACTTGTTTAAAACTATAGAATTATGGAGTAGAGATATCTAGTAGGCGGTATTGTTATGGGCTACAGATTTAGAATTATTAATTATCAGCACATATTATTAATTGTTTTTTGGAAGAGGAAGGTCTGGAGCAAAACCCTTAGGAATCCCAACGTTTAAATGGAGAAAGTGGGGATGGTAATTGAGGTTCCAGTGAGAACAAAGAGAAGCCAAGAGACACATTACAAAAATCAAAAGACACAGAGCATGAAGGCTGGCAGTGTTGCCAGGACACAACTGGTCAGTTTAATCTACTGCTGTGGGACAGTCAAGCAAATGAAGAACTAAATGCATTACCTGACTTTATCCCTAAACACATTCCAAGTGAATTGTGGGAATGTGGGGCAGCATATCCTGCCTCACAGGTGTTGAAATGAGAAAAAGCATTGCTGCTTTTAAAAAGGAATCTCAAAGTATTATGGCAAAAGAAAATCGTCAAAATGACAACCTGAGCCACATTCATCTTCTAGCAACAATATATTTGTTGAGGCTTAGATTAAAAGAGGTGACGCAAGATAATAGAATGATATTGGAAAAGGACCGTTTAACTTGAATGTCTGGCTATTTTAACAGTGTTTGCTCCCCAGTAATCATTATATAATACATTGATACCAAGTGATACATTAAATAGGATCTTATGTGTAAAGTTTAAAATGCTACTGTATTTCAGGATACATGATGGCTGAGGAAAGTTAAATACCTACTCTTGAAATTATAAATCTGAACTCAGGTTACTCCAGACACAACTCTCTCTTCAAAGACATAGTCAGTGCCTTGGTAACAGGTTTTTATTTTTTTTTAATCAGTTATATTATTTGAGCATTAAACTAACGATTATAGAACTTGCTGCTGTTGAAGTAAAGTTTATTTTAAGGTGCTGTACTAATTGCTTTCACTTAAATATTCTATTGTTCACAGAACAGATTTGTTATATAAGGGTATATTAGAAACACCTACACAAGCAAAAGGGACATTGTACATGTATAACTAGCACTTGCAAAAAGCCACTGGACAATGCTAGGAAATTATTCTATGGAAAATGAAGTGTCTTCATTTGAGAAGACAGAAATTCTTAACACCACAGTTTCATTTGGGAATTAGATAGAGTAAAATTATATGCATGTCATTTATCTTGAAAATAATAAGTATTAATATAAATGGCACAAATCCAATGTACCTTACTTAAAAAATAAACTTCAATTACCCAATCAGGTTCTATATTTGTTCTAAATTTAGATGCCATGCTTACTCTCTTGGTTACGGGTTTTCTGAATTTAAACGGATTAGAGACAGAAATTACAAAGAAAGAAGAATGAAGATTCTCAAATAGGCACATGAAAAGAGCAGAAGTGACAGCTGACAATCTGTTTGAATATAGGGAAAGAAAAAAACATAGAGAGGAGTTTTAAAGCTCAGGAGTCCAAGTCAATTTGGATAGGGGTAAAACAGGTCTCAGTAGATACCAATATTATCACAGTAAAATAACTTATATTGATAATTATGATCCAGATTTATCAAGAAAATATGGGTCAAAGAAAGCTAGGGGTGTAAGCAAAGAGGAAGAGAAGGAGGGAGGAAGGAAGTGAGGAAAATTTTTTTTGAAGATTTATTTATTTATACAAGAACTGGGGTACAGGCCAGAGGTGCAGGAGGGTGAGAGGATCCACCAGGGACAGAGCGGGGAACACAACAGGCAGACTGATGAAGAAATAGTCTCGAAAAAGGCGAGACAGGAGAGGTCTGCTGCACCATGTGGTTTTCTCTACGGCCGGCCGGGATCGAAACTGCGCTGCAGAGGCTGCAGACAACTTCACAGCACAACTGTCAACCGCTTGGGCCACCAGGGAGGCCCCCTACTGGTAATTTCTTTCCTTTTTTTTTTTTAAAGATTTATTTATTTATTTATACAAGTACAGGGTACAGTCAGAAGCGTGGGAGGGTGAGAGAATTCACCAGAGCCAGAGCAGGGAACAGAACAGGCAGACTGACGAAGAAATACACTGCTAAGAGGAGCAGCGGGCGGCAGGAGAGGTCTGCACGCCATGTGGGACCCTCGCCAGTTGCCGGGGATCGAACCGATGCTGCAGAGGCTGCGGGCAGCTTCAAAGCCCAGTGCACAACCGCTGCGCCACCAGGGAAGGCCCGCTAATGCTAATTTCTTATCTTCCTACATTTATGAATATTGCCTGATATTTGCTAATAGGCATTTTATCTTTTTCTGCTTTTCAGGAAGACAGTGGCTCCTTCCTGAATCCTTGGTAATTCACTCCTTGTTTAGATATGAGATAGGTGATATATATGGTTGTTTAAGAGATATAGTAGCAACAAGGCAAGGAAACAGGGAATTTTGATGTGTAGGAGGGAGAGAAAACATTTCAATTGCATGGGGCAGTAAAGTTTATAAAAATCATTGTGGAAAAGTAAGGTTGGTAGTTGTCAATTTCAGGAAGGTTTGAATATTAGACTAAAGAAACTGAGCAGTAAAGAATGTGGAGTCATTGAACGTTTCTGAGTAGGAGTGTGTATCAGAGTCAGTCCAGGAAAATGAATTAGGCAGTTGTGTGTGAGGAAAAGGAGTCATCAAGGAATGAGGTAGGTCTCTACTTCAAGAAGCACTCCAGGGGCCTCCCTGGTGGTGCAAGAGTTAAGCACAGCACTGTGAAGCTGTCCATAGCTTCTGCAGAGTGAGTTTGATCCCTAAACACCTCCCCATCCTCCTGCCCTGGCTGGCCAGGGAGCTACCCACATGGCACTGCAGACCTCTCCTGCTTCACCCACTGCTCCCCTCAGAAGTGTATTTCAGTAGATTTGCCTGTTCTGTTCCTATCTCTGTCTCTGGTGAATCCTCTCATCACCCCTGTACCTCTGGCCTGTACCCCAGTTCTTGTATGTGCAAATAAATAAATCTTAAAAAAAAAGCATTCCAAAATATTAAAGGAAAGATTTGATGGCATGCAACTGTCAATTAAAAGCAGTATACCAACAATCCAGATTTAAAAGACATGGCTTTCATATGATAACAGAATGGAAAACACTAACATGTTATGGATGAAGAGAAGTGTTTCAACCCATTGGAACTTGGATAGCTCTCTTTCCAACACTGCTTAGTAAGTTACTGAAGCATATCAACAATATCAGGGTAGGTGATGAAGCAGCATTTTCCAAGCTAATTATACTTTATCCATATTCATAAGCATCATGTCTGAGTTTCTGAGCTGTGTCTACAGCATATGTGAAATATAAATAAGGTTCTTAGAATTGCAAGGTATTTTATTTCTTGTTTTTTAGAGACTGTAATTTTATAAATAATAAATTCTTTTTAGAGTGTGGGTATATATATCTATATAAACATAAATCATACAAAATTTTAATTGTATCATCAAAAAAGAATATATTGTATATAGGTCGCTACATATTTTTACTAATAATCAGTTATAGAAAATTGAAGCAATTTGAGATATTATTTAAAAAAAGGAAAGATATAGAAACAAAAGAAACTATGAAGTCCATAAAGATTTACCAAAGACTTGGCACTTAGTTGACTTTTAATACCTGTCAGTTTTTTTCTTTTAATTGTTGTTAGTCTCAGTGACTCTCGTTAAAACATCATGACATTAATAGAGGAATAAATTGATTGATTTACCCAACAAAAAATTTATTTGTTACACACCAGAGTAAACATTGATTATTCAAAAATGGAAAGACTATTCCTTCCCTAGCAGAACTGTAGTGAAGAGGAGAGATAAACAAAAATATTCCTTAAAAAATGATTACTGCCTCTGTGGAGCACAGAACACTTATGTCTTCGGTTATTAGAAGAGGATCTATAGAAGGAGATGTAAGGTGAGCGCTGAAGTTAATCAGGCTAGTAAACTTCACTCCAGTGATTTTTTATTTAAGTAAGCAAGTTTAAAAGATACTGCTTGTATTATAGTTTATATTTTTATTATTTTGGTAAATGTTGCTCAACTGACTTCTTTATTAGAGATACATTTTTCTGAATTCATTGAAAGAATGGCTTTAAGGAGAAATACATAATATTTTTGTTTGTTTTTTAAAGAAATTAAGACATGAAAATTCATCAGCTTGGTTTATAACCTATTCCATTACTTCTTCATACAAAAATTTATTTTAGAAGATAAGTCTTGAACACTTCCAAAGTGGACAATGTGCCAAAATAATATATAACCTAGATGATTTTAAATCTGAAATCTTTTCAATAAATTGTTCAAAATGTGCAAGGATATATGTCAGGGTTGGTGAAGATCTGCAAAGTGTTTATGTAAAGAATATATCAAAAGAAATTTACATTCAGGTATGTTAGACTGCTGTTAAAAATCTGATAGAATTTTCTTACTATAATAAAAGAAGTTCTCAGAATAAATACTAGAATCTAGTCTTATATACATCTGAAAAGATATAATTTTTTGAGAACTTTGAAAAACTTTGCATGTGATATTAGTTGGTATATTAAGCTACAAAACAGTTAGGTAAAAATAACCCATTTGTGCAAAACTATTTGTACTGAGAAAGAGATGGGTAGATAAATGACCTAAAATTAATTATTTGTGGTTGGTGAGATTAAGTACATTTTATATTTTTCCATTTTGCGTGTATGTATTTCATATTTTCATATTTTGCGTGTATGTATTTCATATTTTCTGTAAGGAACGCAAAATGTTTTTGTAATAATTTAAAAAGATCAGATACAACTTTAAAATAAATCACAGGACATTGATTTTAAAGGTACTTAATATAACCTATATTTTAAAACTACAAAAGGATATTAAAATATTGATGTCTAGAAATATACTACCTATGGTTTCTATAGATTTTATGGTTTTAGGTCTTACATCCAAGTCTTTGATCCATTTTGAATTGATCTTTGTTTATGGCATTAGATGTTAGTGTAGTTTCATTCTTTTGCATGTGGCTGAAATAATGAATCAAAAGAGAATCAGGCAGCAACCTAAAAACATGGCCTTGTTCAGAGCTCTGCTGACAGGCTAGGTCTAGGCCCCACATGGCATATGCTCAGTCAGTCAGGAGATGGATTAGATGGGTCCCTGTGGGAGGCTGAAGTGATTGAACACACAGAGAGGGTGCAGGGATGAAAGAAAAAATCCCCCAAATTACTCACAAAAATTTAGAATTTATAACTGAATTTTCAACTTGATGAGAACACCAATAAAGATAATCAAAGGAGTTTTAAAAATATGTAACTAAGTGAATTCATGTTTTCACCAATTACAGTATGGCAACTGTTGCTCCAGCACCTAAGGGTGCTGCTGGCTTGCTGCAATGAGTTAGGACTGCAGAAGCTGTTGGAAGAAGGAGACTGGATTTTGAATAAAGACAATGAGGAAGTGTCCATTGAGTTGGAGGACATCCTCAGAGGGCTTAAAGTTTTCTTTCTAGCTAATGTCCAGAATGAAGCCCAATATGGCAATTTTACCTCTTGAATAACATCACTGCCTTCAAAAATTAGTTCCAATTTAAACTACATTGTATCATCATCTCAAAGAGTTTTTGTGTTTCTGATTGATGACACAAATTCTTAGATTTTTAACAATTTATGCCTGATTTTTAAAATATGTTTAATGCTGGCTCATAAAATAGAACTTTTTTTCTGCTTGCAATAGACTTTTAAAATTAATGGACTCATTTGAATCCATACTCATGTAAAGAAAAATCACTAAAGTCAGGATGAACACTATTTTTATACACGGATTCAATGTTTTTCTATGTCACCTAGATTCTCACTGACTTTTTTATATTTGCTATTTCATGAATAACATTTCTTAAATAAGTTGCTGAATTCCTGATGGAGAGGAAATGTTCACTAGTTTTATTGGTAAATTTAATAATCACATCAATTGGATTTGTACCATTTTATCAGTAATACTACAGTGGTATAAAATTTAAATTCCAGTGCTTATAGATATTCATAAGTTAAAATTACGTTTGGATGATGTCCAAGTAACGGCTAAGCAGAATTAAATACAAGGTATATGTGGGTTAAAGTTTACAGCTTGACTGACACCATATATTATTGGACCTTTTGAGGCAATATGTACTCTGTCAACATTTGCACAGTTCTTTATGTAAGAAATAAAAACTCAAAAATGACCTGGCAAGTATTCTTTATGTATTTTGGTTCATCCACTTACACAAAGCAAATATTAAATAAGACAGACTGAAGAGAACATACGGCCACATTTCTAAACAAATACTCATTAGAAATGCCTCGATATTTCATTATACTATTGCAAAATTCACAGTATTTAACTCTTATGATTTATTGACTAAAAACAGTGGTGTCAAAAGAATAAGGTTACTGTAAGGACCCAAAAACTAATAGAGAAGAAATGCTAGAAATAATAACAATATTAAACGAAAAAATAATGAAAGGACAAAAGTATAATAAAAGAATAAATTACATAGAAAAAAGTTGGAAAGCATTCTTATCAGCATAACAAGTGAAAAAAATGATTATTGTTGGTTTGAAGATAGGCAAGACTTTCAATCTTTATTACCCTATACATTTCATAATGCTTTTTTAGACATTAAATACATAAATATGTAGTTAAAAATTAAATATGTGGACATGTTTAATACTTCATAACAATTAGTGGATCATCAGCACATATTATAAGCATTATTAACTGCACCAATGAAGCATAAAATTGATATTAAATAATAGGTGGTTGAATATTAAATAAGATAAAAATTAAATTCTGGATTCTATATTTACTACAGGACTTAAGTCAAAAGTGGGACCAGAATTGACTATACAACATTTCTTGAAAACATTGTATGTATTACTGTAGTAGACATACCTCAATATATACAATATATGCCCAGTTTGAAAATAGATCTTCTAATTCTCATATTCTGACCTGCTATTCTTTGAAGTAAGAGTGATACATTTCCCTGCCAGTGTGTTATATTGATTGTGTTTCTTTTGTGAGTTGGTGGCGAAAATCTACTAGGTACATTTAATAATTTCAAGACCTTTATCAGTACCGGTAAGAAGTTGGTGACCGAGAAAGAGTTCTGCTATGATTACAGCATGTTGAGTTGACATTGGAAAAAATTTAAAATGAGCCCTTGAAAATGATTCAAAACGAATGTTCTATTTTCCTAGGATTTCCTAGATTGCTTTTAAATTTGAGAAATTTAGTTTAGGAACTTATTTAAATTGACTTCCACTCTTGGCATGTAACACTATTGGTTTCTTACCAGGTTTGTAGCTTCATGCGCAAGACCTTTGGCTTCCCTGGCAATTTTCTCAGCTTCATCAATATAGTCCTTAATATTGCTATAAGCTTTGAAGGCTGCTGTGGCATTGAAGGAGATGTTTTTAGCTTCATCAAGGATCCTGTTGGGATTACCCAAAGAAAGAATACCAGAGTAGTGGGTACACAAATATAACAAATAAGGATTCCAAGTAATTAAGGCTAATGTAACTATATAACTATTAAATAACTATAATTCCAAATCATGGTGAGGTATCTACCTACTCGATTATATTGTACATTCAATTTAAACTCCTACTGTTAAATAACTGAGATATGAAACATTACCAATATATTTTTAAATACCCATAACTGTGGCCTCTTTCCTACCTAGGGCCTCTGCAACTGTGTGTGCATGGCCTCTCTGTGTGCCTATGTGTGTGTGAAAGAATTGAATAAGGCACTCCTGAATGACTACCTTGAGACAATGGCCCACATCACAGGCAGCCGGGGACACCTAGGTAGCTGTTGACTGACTGTGTGGTCAGGGTCCAAGACAGTCTGGGAATAGCTCAGAAATTACATGAAGCACCTGTTCCCCATAAAATTGATTACCCTTTGCTCCCCTTGAATCCTGTTCCCCATAAAAAGGAATACCCTTTGTCTCCCCTAGACCCTGCTTCTTCTGCCATTGCCACATCATCAATCATGTTTGTTCATTTCTGCTAATAAAGAGCAAGAGTTCTGCTCATTGAGCAGCAGAGACTTGCCTTGCAAACCTGCTCCACGACTTGTCCCTCAGCATGTTCTCTGGGGACATGCTGGCGTGTTCCTGACCACCAGACACAACATCTGCTGAAAGTGTCTGCAACCATGTACACCATGCTAAAGTGAGCAGTGAGATGATCCTTTAGGCCATTTGTGAAGCACACTGCAGGTTTTAGAGCACTTGTACCATATTAGTGGAATGAATTTCACAAAATCTCTAAGGTGAATGCACTTCCCAAATAGGGATAAATGAATCTCAGTAAGTTAAATAGCTTGTCTCAGGTCACAAGATCAACATGTTGCGAATTTAGGGCTTAGACTTCTCTTTTAAACTCCAGGGGAAAAACTACTTATTACTCTGTGAAATGTCAGCTCACTATAACTAGGTTTTTTCTGTGGGTCTGCTGACTTGTAGCTTACTGCTCCAGCTGCCTGCTTCATGTGAAACTGGTAAATGTTTGTTATAAAATGGATTGTGAGTGAATTATGCCCAGGGAAATCAAACATTAATATTTTCCTTTATATCGGTGCATATTAAGTGATAGAAAAGAACCTTATACATGTCATATATTAAATACAGGTCTATTTAGGAAAATTATTCTTGAGGTTAATAGCATCTGTTTATTGTCGATTCCATTATTACAAGGAAGCACACCAATTACACCCAGAAAGCTGATTACAATTCACACACCTCTCATCACTTGCCTGTCCTTCCTCTGACCCATATCGGAAACTTAGTTACAGTGAACTATTTTTTCACACGGAGTATGTTGTGAGTCTCTGGATTTAAAAAAGAAAAACAACTACAGGCTATGTATGGGGCAACATTTTCAAAAGCCACCCTTTAAAAACCTAAATAATTTTGATTTATTGAAAATAAAAAAACTGAAATTTGAAGTCAAGTGTGTGGTTATGTATTATTATATAAAATGCTAATAAGGCAACTACTGTGCTCTGTAATAAAGAACAGAGAATATTTTTCTAAGTGTAGCTCAGGGCTATGTTCACTCCCTACCAAGTCATACTGAATCCACTTTTAACTCATATTTCTGATGCTACTCCAGTAGCGCTTTGCTCAGAATCCTCCTAATTAGGCTCATTCATGGAAAGACTACATCACTCATATGTTCATAATTATAGAAATCAAGATTTGAAAGCAATTCTCTACCATTTCTGTGAATCAAAACTTTTTGGACATCCGTCAAGATACAGTGACATTTCCAAAGACAATTGCCATACCCATCAAGAACAGCAGATGAGTCATTCAACTGAGCCGCGTGGCGCTCGGCCTGGGACACCTTCTCAGCAAGGTTCTTGTCCTTTGTTTTTTGGGAGAGGTCGTCTATTTTATCTTTAAGCTCCTCAGACATGGGTGGCAGTTTCGTTTGAATGTCTTCCACATACTGATTTGTAGAGAAGAGAAGGCATTTTAAATAAGTGAAGCCAAACTTCCTCTAATTTACTACTCTGGGAGATATAATTATATACCCTTCACTTTTTAAGAAACTTCGATCTTACTAACATAGCAAAAAGAAAACAGAATAAAAGCGGTTATTTACTGAAAGAGATTAGGAAATATAAGAAGCCAATTTACACCAAGAAGAACCTAATTATTATTTTTAAAAAATGCTATTTGATAGGTATACATAAATAAATGAGAGTCATTAGAATCTTGTAGACCATTTGCATATTTATTACCTTTTATCATTGTGTTTACTGCATTAGACAGTAGGTTAAAAGTCTGATTGTGGATTTACACTTCTCTTTTAACTAATATTATACATATATTGAAGCAGATTCTAAGTATTAACCTATTTGGAACAAGAAATGGTCTTATCACAACAAAGTAAAATCATGGTTTCCGGTGTATGAGCACCTCACTCAAATACTGATATTTACAGGGGAAACAAAGTGCCGATCTAATTGCTACTAATAGGTGGATATGGTCATAATAAAATAATGCAAAAATAGTCTTATATTCAACAGGAAAAGCACTGTTTATAGTATTGAGATTTCTCATTGGTTCCTGTTTATGAGCACTTATGTTATCACCTTTCTTTTAACTTGGCTTTTTATCAAATACTCACATCTATGACTGAGTTGATTTCATTTGCAAGACGATTGGCTTCATCAAGTATGTCATTGCCTTCTTTTAAAGTGTTTTCAATTTGTCGTTTGCCGCTTTCAATAGCCTCCTTCTTTTTCTGTAGCAAAGTAAGAACAAAACATCAGAATGCCTTTTGGGTAAAACTCTATTCAATTCTGTATTACTGACTTCCCTGAACTGTATGAACAAATGCTTCACAAGCAAGGTACATCATGTTGACAATGGGGCTAGATGAGAATGATATAAACACCCTGACAGCCCTCCAAGAATTAAATGCCTGTACAGGAAAAAAGACTAAAATCTGCAAGCTGGGGTCTCCCTGGTGGTGCAGGGGTTAAAGCCTCAGCAGCCAGCCACTGTGGCATGAGTTGGTTCCCTGGCCAGGGAGCTACCCACATGGCGCAGCAGACCTCTCCTGCCTCGCCTGCTATTTCCCTCAGCAGTGTATTTCAGTAGATTCACCTGTTCTGCACCCTATTCTGTCTCTAGTGAATCCTTTCACCCACTACACTTCTGGCCTACACCCCAGTTATTGTGTGCATAAATAAATAAAAATAAATCTTAAAAAAAAAACCAAAAAACAAACCTGCAAGCTGACAATAGATCTGAGGCATCCAGGAAGGGGAGAGACAGGTAGAGGGGTCAAAACAGGGAAGGGAAGAGCACAAAAGACGATGGAGATGGATCACAGGTGCTATGGTGGTGGGAGAGCTATGGGGACTACACCTGAGTGGGGAAATCAAATACTGTCCAAAAATGAACAATGTAAGAAAATGAAAAAGAAAATAATTTAATTTAAAAAATGCTTGTATATAGGAACTTTCTTTCTCCCATTGTGACAAAATCATTCAAGAGAAGAAAAATTATGTGATGGTAACTGAGGAATTAAAAACTACTTCTAAGGCAAAATGGACATCCATTTTTAAATAAAATGTAAGGACCGAATATGTCCTGAAAATGTGGAGGCAGACTGAATTATATTGGAACTTGATATTGAATTTCAGATTCTATATTCAAATGAGTATTTGATGAGGATAAACATAAGCAAATTTATTCTATGGGAGTTCTATAAAATTGGAAGAATCAGGATCTTTAAAGGAACTTAGGGGAAGCACTTCAAAAAAATAAACTATCAAAAGGCAGAATAAATATAATGGACTGTTCCATAAGAAGAGAGCAGACCCTAATTTTTCTTTGAAATGGATAGCTTAATTCAAAAATTCATGAAAGTCATTCTTAGCTCAAGGAGTAAAATCAAGAAAGAAGTAATGTTTGGGCCTCCCCGGTGGCGCAGCAGTTGAACGCTGGGTTGCGAAGCTGCCCGCAGCCTATGCAGTGCTGGTTCGATCCCCGGCTGCTCCCCGGCCACCGGAGGAGGGTCCCACATGGCGCGCAGACCTCTCCTGCCGCCCTCTGCTCCCCTCAGCAGTGTGCTTCGGTCCTTCTGCCTGCTCTGCTCCCCGCTCTGGCTCTGGTGAGTTCTCTCACCCTCCCGCGCTTCTGACTGTACCCAGTGCCTGTATAAATAAATAAATAAATCTTAAAAAAAAAGACATATTTAAAAAAAAAGAAGTAATGTTATTTCTCTGTTTATTTATTTAAATACTTTGGACTCACTCATATACTTCTAATCATCTTTTTATCTGCACCATTTGTAATTTTAAGTTGTCATTTGTTTTTTTACATAAATAATGCTAGTTTATATATTCACTTAGATTTCAATATGTGCGGATTGTTTATAAAATTTTCTCATTTAATTCTACACTAACTCTCTGGGTCCTGGATTTTTCCTACTTTTAAATAGATAGGAAATTGAATAAGTGATTTAGCCAAGGTGACATGGCTATTAAAGTATAGGTAGATTTGAGTCCCAATTTACCCCAGGTAGGACCTGGGTTTGAAATGTGAGTAGAACTCCTGCTATAAAATATCATATTTTCACTTTTGCACTGAGGTAGCAGTAATTTCACATCCTTCTTTCCAGCCTCTTCACCAACCACTTTAATATGTTGCCAGGTATGTAAATATGGTTCTTGCCTCTGATTCCTCACACTTACATCCCCTCCACCATGCACTCTGCCCTAGTTCCTTGCTCTTCTTTCTCCTCCTTTTGGGGCTCCCGGTCACTTCTTGGCCTCCTGTCTAAAAGAGCACGCATCCTCTTGCCAATTATTTTCTACATATTAGAACACAGTGATTAAAAACTATATCCAGGCAATCACCTGCCTGTGTTGGGATCTCTGCTCTATACACAGGAAACCCAGGACAAGTGACTGAGTTTCCTGTAAAATGCTTAGTAGAAGTATGACCCACTGATCAGCAGCATTGGCAATGCCTGGAAATGTGTTAGAGATGTACAACCTCAAAGCCTTTTCAGGAACTACCAATTCAGAATCTGCATTTTATAAAGAACCTCCAGTGATTGAAATGCACAATAAAATTATAGAAGAATTAGCTTAGAACACTCCCTTGCACACAGTAGACATGATGTAATTGTTAACTCTTGTAGTTATATAATTTAGTTTTTCTTAGCACTGATTTCTTTGGATTATGTTCTATAGGGAAGCCATAAGGTACAAAAACATAGATAAAATTTTAATTCTTTGTGTGTAGCTTGAACCATACTGATAGTTTCTTCCCCCAAAGTGTGCCACAGGAGTAATTATTAAATGATTCTGTTTGGATACCAAGGTAGATTTTATTTGACTATGTTTCTACTTTTATCTTCTAATTAGATCTTAATTCATTCTAGAACTCTGTAAATTTAACAATTTTTTTTTTTTTTTGGTGAGGGCCAGAGTGTGCATGTGGGATGCATTAAGAATCTGCAAAAACGATCTCCTTTCTATTCTTTGTCTAAAAACTCATTCTACTTTCTTGGCAGTCCTTCCTTTTGCAGAGTTATAATGGGAGATTTGGGGACAGACTGTTCAATAAATGTTCCGTTGCTTAGCTGAATTGCTCATCTTCTCTTTGCCCATCATCAGCTCAGAGTTCTCTCTGCCTTCTCTCCAGTGCTGGGAATGCCCTTCTAACCCCGTGCCATTCTAGGAGGCTGCATTCAAAGCTTTCTATGATCTGGCTCTAAATGCCATTTCCAGAATCATTTTCTGGGACAGAATTTTGCAGAGCTGATGAACACACTTTATAGCTCTATTTGACATTTCTAAGATCACCTTACCCTTTCAGAGTTCTGTGTTTGTGCTCATGCTGCATCTTCATTTCTATCAATCTTTAAATTTCCAATATGATGATATCATTTCTGTGAATTTTTTTTGCTGATTCTCCCAGGACATATTAATCACAATATTAGATATAGCAAATTAAAATGTTTAAGTTTTCATGAGGTTATAACATCTATGGTGTGAGGACTCATTCCTATTCAAACTATACACCCTGGTTACCAATCACACCTTGCTATAGTAGGTGTCCATGTGCCTTTTGTCCCAAACTACTTTCCTAGCCTTGTATCACACTATTTTCAAATATAATCCAATTCTCCAGCTTACATGAGCACTTCATAAATTCCTCAAAATGTTATATTAATGCATGACTCTAATATTTCAATTACTTCCAATAACTTTCAGGATTAAAACAAACCAAATTCCTTAGTTTAGTTTCAGAATGCAGTTATTCCATAATTCAAAGTCTAGGGCCTTTATTGTCTCTGATTATCTATCCTACACTTGTTTACCTGAAATTTTTATTGCAATTTCATCAGACCACTGAAATTTCAAAAGATCGTTCCTTATTTTTCTTGTTGTGCTGATACACGTTTTTCCCTCTTTCTGGAATACTCTTTCCCTTCTACCTTTTTTTTTTTTTTAAGATTTATTTATTTATTTATTTATACAAGCACTGGGTACAGTCAGAAGCACAGGAGGGTGAGAAAATTCACCAGAGCCAGAGCAGGGAGCAGAGCAGGCAGAAGGACTGAAGTACCCTGCTGAGGGGAGCAGTGGGCGTGGGACCCCCCTCTGGTGGCCAGGGAGCAGCCGGGGATCGAACCAGCGCTGCAGAGGCTGCGTGCAGCTTCGCAACCCAGCACTCAACCGAGGCGCCACCGGGAAGGCCCCTCCCTTCTACCTTTTTTTAAACAATTGTGTGCTTAATACATAGTCTGAACATTTTAAAGTAATAACTTTATTTTACCCCTTTAAAATAGAGAATCTTTGAGTTGGGTCTGAATCATATTACCTTTGTTCTGGGCACCGATGCAATAAAGGCATTTACTTAAAACACAGCTTATTATTTAGTCAGGTAAATACATGTATCAGTTGATCTTCAAACTGTATGCCTATCAGATTAGCCCAGGTAGAGTCTTAGAATTTGGACACTGGGTCCAGCCCCATGTCAGTCAACTCAAAACCTGGGTGAGCGCCCAAGGAACTCAGAGAACTTGCTGGACAAACTCTTCAGGTAACTGTTTTTTGTAGCCAATCTGGCACCAACCTGGGTAATCAACTTTATCATCTGTGGCAAACATTAAATAACTTGTGTCTTACTCATACTAATTTAGTCAGTTTATCTATTTTCTCCAGTAAATTTTTGACAAGTCTTTAATTAAGCATGGCATAGAAGATCAAAATATGAAAAGGAGCACATAGAACTTTACTACTGACTGTGAAGGCAGAGGCATCTCCACATTGCCTAAGAACAATGGCTCCTGGTTTTAAACTCCTCAACAAGGAAGAACTGTTGAAAGCACCATTTACTACTGTGCCATTATAACTCTTCTTGAAATACTTTCCAAAAGCTTATTATGTTTTCCACACAGGTCATTTTAATTTCTTAAACCATTGCCATAAAATAGAGAGGTGCATCTCTATTGAGGTAGCCACTGGGGTGTCATGGAACAGGATGGAGCATGTGTGAGTATGGGGTGTAAAGGGGATCTAGCAACCTGTCTCACGAGATGGTGCTTTTTTTTTCAATGTTGCCCACATGTCAGTAGACTCCAACTTGGCTGTTATTCATGAAGGAAAAAAGTGAGTCTCCTCATTCTTTTATCAACATGACAACTCCAGGAAGGGGGGGGGAGCAAACACTAGTTTAAAAATCTTATTCATCCTCTTATTAATCCAAAGGAATGCATAAAGAAATGAGGAAATTTGAAAAATCCAGAATTGCTTTATTCAACTTCATCTTACCAACATTTTTTGACACCATAATAATATATGCCTGGGAAAGTTCAGCTATAGTTGAAGGTGAAATGATATGCTGGAAGAGATATAGGTCTGCTGCTCTTTTCAGGTCTGTCGGGGTGAAATACTTTGAAAACAACAAAGTTAGGTTTGTCCCTGGGGAGAAAGTTGTTTTATTACCGAAACAGGTTTGTGGCAGCATGTGTGGTGAATTTACTCTTGTAGGGGGAGAGAAAGAGAAAAGAGAAGGACAGGATGGATTTATATTTGGCAGAAGACAAAATTGCAGATATGACAGTGAATGTGCTTCACTGTCATTTGTTCCTCATTTTGTAGATAATACGGAGTCATGGAAGTTTTCTGACCAAGTGATATGATTGGAGTTGGCAGTTAGTAGACCAATAATTCAGAAAGAAACTTTAATTGTCAATAAAACATTGTCAATGAGATAACATGGAATTATGTGATACAGATGCTATGATTGATGACTTAGCAACAATGGGAGAGAGCGAAAAAGAGAGAGAAGGAGTAGGAGTAGGAGGAGTGGTACTAGAAAGAAGGAAGAGACATTTTCTCATAAGGTGGGGGAGAAGAAAGGAGATAGGAGTCTATTTTTAGCACCTTCCTACTGAACAAATCTATCTTCTAAAAACAAATCTAGTTTCTAAAAACAAACCCAGCTTCATCAGCACTCTGAAAAAGGCAGATTGTCCATCATTTCTTGAGGAGAGAAATACCTCCTCTGTATGAAGAGTAGAAGGGGAAAATACCCAAACTTGGTCTGTTCGTATAGTCCCTTTTAAAATATCATGTGTATAGAAACATTGCAAAGAAAAAGACAACTAAAATCTCCCCATGCTCTGGTGACCCAGTGAGCCTTTTCTCATATGCCAGATTCCTGGAGAAAACACTTGGTGCTTCTGGGATTTATGGCAGTCAGGTGTCTAAACCATGGTTCATGGATTAGGTGGGTGAATTTTAAAATGAGATAATCACATTTAAAGATACTGTAGATTTTCTTTACCATAAGCACTTGTGTGGTTGGGAGACAGATGCTTAGAGACTTGGATTGACTTGCCCAAGCTTGTACCTGTAGTTAGTTATATAGTTGTCATTAGGACCAAGATCTCCTAAGTCCCAATAAAGAGTTCCATGGTATGGCACCGTCCTTCAAAATCTTCAACAGTTCGAGCAGTCTGAATTTTATTTAACTCTAGGGGCAGAATTTAGTGATTAAGAAATCATTCCCTGCTATCTTCTTAGAAATTGTGGTAAATGTGCACCAGTTAAGCTCAATACCTCCCCAGGCTCCCAGAATCAGATGAAAGAGCTCCTAAAACTCACCTCCAGAGCAGTCATATTATTCTGGTTTGCGGCAGATAAGCGATTAGCTTCTCTGATTTTGTCTGTGGCTTCTCTCAATAGGTCCTGAGCATCATCAACTTTGCTTTTGTAGTCTGCCAGTTTCTCCTGGAGAGCCTTTTCCATTTCCTCATTTTTCCCCCGGGATTCTCCAAACAGCTTCTTCACTTTCTTCAGGAGGCCTTCTGCAGCCCTGCAAGCACCCCCAGCCCAATAACAGACAATAAGCCCTTGTCACTGCCTCAGGGTTTATTGGTATTAAACTGTGTTACAAAGAGATGCTAGCATTAAAGGAATGGAAAGATAAGAACACATTCAAAGTAGGTTCACAATGTGCTAAACCAAGTTGAAAATGGGTATCTGAAAAGTGGCAAGGCCACTTATAATTGAAGCACAAAAATCCAAATTTAAAATTTATTAATAACATTTTCAATTGAAAAGCATCTCATTATTCTCATAATCTGACTGATGAAATAAATGAGTTTTACGATTGAGTTCACACACCAAAGAGAAGAAAAGACTCCAGATTCACTACTATGAGATATTTTCTCAGTACTTTGCATATAAGGTATGAATATTGATATGTTTGGTTAGGAACTCTGAACAGAATTCTATGTTATTGCCGTGTGATTATAATGTGAATCTATTTTTCTTTTCCTTCTAAGTGATTTGGGCATTTCCTACATTTTACTTAATAGTTTTCCTAAAGTGATAATATCTGAATCCTTAAGTAAAACTAAGTAATTGAAGAATAGCAGTTCTCAACTTGGCATGTATCATAACCCTCTGACGTACTTGTCAAAACAAATTGTCGGACCCCATACCCAGAGTTTGTGCATTATTAGTAGTGGGTAGGGTTTGATAATTTGTATTTCTGACAAGTTCTCAGATTTTGCTGATGTTGCCATATTATTTAAGTTGGTTATATTGTTTAAGTTGTAGTAACACAATCACTTTGAAGCTAATTGACTATAAATGTGAAAGTACACATTTTTTTCTATTAAGTTGGTGGACCAAATGTTCATTAGCATTAGTAAAACCACCATTACTATTCCTAGCCTTATTTCCCAGCTCTTACTTAAATTCCCAACCCTTATTTCAAAGCATTAGGCATTTGTTATTTGCTAACTCTTCTACTCAGCATTTCCTAAGATGACAAAAGGTACAGAATGACCTAATAAATTCATAACTTTATCCAAGGATGCTTTTATTAAAACAAAAAAAAAAACTTTTAAAACAAAAATCCCACATTAAAACAAAAAGCAAAATATTTTTATTAGAACAAATTACTGTTGGTAGTTTAAAAGCCCTTAGTATGAGTGATTAATAAAGCAAACCCATTTGCTTAATTATAAATGGAGCAGCACCAGACATAATCATTTATTTGATTATTTGTATATACACAAAAACATGCTTTTGGTTCATTTTAGAGCAAGATAAAATATAACTAAGTAAATGAAACCTGAACTGTAGACAAAGTATCTTCTACTTCTATGTGAGGTAGAAAATTAAAAAATTGCAAATAACATTTTGAAAGCTCAGGTTATCAAATGAAAAAAAAAAAAAGTCTACTCACACCAACTCGTCTTCAGCAACTTCCTTTTGTGTATCTAGATTTTTCCTCCTCAGTTCTGCCATCATCTGATCAATCTCTTTCTGAAGCTCTTGCAAATTTCTCTCAAAGGCCTTGTCTTGAATTCCTAGAGTTTCATTTAGTTTTACAGCTTTTTCATTTACAGCTGCAGGGGGTAAAACAAATTTTGCAAATTAGTAAACAACAATGCCACATGCAAAAATGGCACTTAGCATCTGCTCTTCCCCCAAATCTCCAAACTAAATGTAGCTTGCCATGGGTGTCCCTGCTGGGACACAGAGAAGCAGTTAATGCAACAATCCATAACAAACAGGGGAATCTGACATTTTTCTTCATATTATATTTCTTTGAGAGAGGCAGTAATAAAATCACAGTGTTTTTACCTTAAAAGGAAGAAATACAAATAAGTGACTCAAACCCTCTTTGGGTAAGAGGTAAATGACACAAGTAACATAATGTGGAAGTTGAAAACAAAAGGTCTACATTATTCACAGTCATGTTTAGTCAATTTAAAAATACAGAGTATAGAAATACTGTGGCAAGATTTTTGAAAATGAACCTGACTTTGCACTTCCATGCAGTTCTGTATTCTTTTTTTTAAAAAAACAAGTGGGGAAAGGAGCACTGGTGTGGGGACATGGTTATAGATTAGGATTCAAAGATACCTCCCAGCAATAACATCAATCTTAAGAATGTGTTTATAACACATTAAGTGGGGTTTCATGCTGCACTCTTTTTTTTGTTTGTTTCTTAAAGATTTATTTTATTTATACAATAGCTGAGGTACAGGCAGAGGCGCAGGAGGGTGAGAGGATTTACCAGAGACAGAGTGGGGAGCAGAACTGGCAGACACACTGAAAGCACTGCTGAGGGGAGCAGCGGGCGCAACAGGAGAGATCTGCTGCACCATGTGGGAATCTCCCTGGCTAGCCAGGAATAGAACCTGCACTGCAGAAGCTTCGGACAGCTTCACAGAGCTGCACTCAACCGGCTGCGCCACTAGGGAGGCCCGCTGCACTATTTTGAAACGTAGGATTCTCCAGGTGAATCAGGGATTCTACAGATGATATCAATTCTGCCAAGAATCTGTTCTATAGGTGATATTCTAGGCAAGATTTCATTTGAAAAAATAATTTGATGTCAAATAAAGTTTTGAAAAACTGATCAATTGAAGCATTTATGAAGTTCTAACCATTGTTTCACACCAACTTGCCCTGAAGTGTGTTCTGGGGAGCATCAACTTAACCACCTGAAGGGAGATGTTTTCTCAAACTTCTTTGTCCACTGAGCCTTCTTTCTATTACAAAGTATCTTCCAATGAGGGCTCTGAGTTGGCTGAAAGACATTTTCTATAATGTATCTATGACCTCTTTAAGACATAAAGGATCTTAAAAATTCACTTCTACTTTTGGAGAAGTTTTCCTAATTAGTACTAGTTAGAGTTATTTCTAGGATAACTTGCTCCCAAAATGGTGCACATAGTTAGGCTAAGTAGAACAGTCACAGCAACCTCAGCATCTTCTGGGAACTTACTAGAAAAGCAGATTCTCAGGCCCCTCCCACCATGGATCTAGAGGGTCAAAAATTCTGGGAATCGGTCCAGCATCTATCTTTAACAAGCCCTCCAAGAACTTCTGATGTGCACCAGAGTTTGAAAATCACCGGGTTAGTAGGAGAAATTGTTTCAAATTCTCACTCTACCTTTTCCAATGCATCCTTCTAATCTCTTGTCATGAAACATATCTTTGTTAGAAAGTTCCTACAGTTCAGCTCTTTGTTCCTAAAAGCTGTAGTTTAATTTGCAGGACAACAGGAATCAGTAACCACTGAACTCATTTACAACATTTTAAATGACAGGGGTAAGCCCCACTTCCCAGTCGGCCACAGTGGTATGTTTTGTGTTTTGCTTTATTACATGAGTTTTGATTAGATGTGTTTTTTGAAATTTGATCAAATTCACATCCTGATCTAGGTGTTATTGAAGAAGAGAGGAAAGTGTGGTGCAGCCTCACTATATCTCTTGTGTCCTAATTGTGAAGGCATCTACAGGTAAGAATTGGGTGGAAAAGAATAACAGTAGAGAAAGAAAAGGCAAAGGTGACTGTACCTTTTGCAATGCATCCTTTTCTTTAAAGCAAAGGTAATCAACTAAGAAAAATTATGAAGGTATACAAAAATGCTTTAGCAAAGTGATACTGTATTAAAACACCATTTTAATCAAGGTCTGATTGCTCCACTGCTTCTCTATTTGCTTTTTTTAGTATTATTAAAAGTAAAGATGAGTGTGTTAGTTTTTTACCCAAAGAGATGGTCTAGTACTGTAGAATGCTTTCAACAGGATTGAAAGTAATTGTCACATAAATGTGTCTTTTCAATTTACTTATCATTTATTTCTACTTTATTTCAAAGGGAATTTAAAGTAGTTTTAAAATATCTTTAAAACAAGATAAAATTAACATGAAATAAGATATGGATAAAGACAATTAAGGTAAATCAGGGGAAGCATCATTAGACAGAGAGGCATGTCATAATGCTCAATGCAATGGATCCTAAATCTAGTTCTAAAAAACATAATAGTCAAGGTATGGGGGTGGTTAAAAATGGAGTGCTTCAGAGGGACACAGTATCTTAATCTAAAAATAAATTAATTCCACAGGAGAAGCAAAACTTTTTCATAGTGAATGTGAAAAGGCAACTTCTGATGGGGTAAACTTGTCATGAATGGCAAATACTACCATGACCTGAAAAACAGGAAAGAAGTGTGTCTAGCATTTATTGAGTGCCATTATGAGTCAAAATCTACCCTCATGGGTTTATGTATGTTAACTCTAATAGTGAATAGAACAAAGTATAATTTATTTAGTCAGGATCTAGTCAGGAGTTATACCAGAGCAGACTTCATAAAATTTTACTCACATGAGAATACCTACAATTAATAGAAGTTGATTATGTATAAGAGATCATAACTTTATAAGGGAGATAGGATGAGTAAGACATTCCATGTATTTAAAAATAAAACTGAAACAGACAAAGGTCAGGCTGAAGCTTTTTCTACAGTGATTTATCAGAAATAAAATCTAAAAATACTAATATTATCTACCATCATTATATTTTTTAATGAAAAAGGGGCTATGGATGTATTGTTTTATCAACTTGAAGACTTTCAGTGAGTTTCTTTATCTTTTTTTTAGTATTTATTTTATATATGCATACAAGAGCTGGAGTGTAGGCCAGAGGTGGGGTTGAGAGGATTCACCAGAGGCAGAGTAGGGTGCAGAACAGGTCTGCCTGAAATACACTGCTGAGGGGAGCAGCGGGAAGAAAGGAGAGATGTGCTGTATCACCAACCTGGCTGGGGATTGAATTCACGCTGCAATGGCTGCAGATAGCTTCAGAGTTCTGAGCCTTAACCCCTTGTGCCACCAGGGAGGCCCTTAGTCCGTCCGTCTGTCCTTCCTTCCTTCCTTCCTTCCTTCCTTCCTTCCTTCCTTCCTTCCTTCCTTCCTTCCTTCCTTCCTTCCTTCCTTCCTTCCTTCCTTCCTTCTTTCCTTCCTTCCTTCCTTCCTCCCTCCCTCCCTCCCTCCCTCCCTTCCTTTCTTTCTTTTTAATTCTCTACACTGCCAAGATTTGTAATTCACACACAACTGAGAATTTAGTTAGTGCTGGCATATTCACAGTTAAATTTTAATGACATTTTGACAATCACATTAATTCTCCCTGATTTTTTTAAAAGATTTATTTATTTATTTATAAAAGCACTGGGTACAATCAGAGGCGTGGGAGGGTGAGAGAATTCACCAGAGCCAGAGCAGGGAGCAGAGCAGGCAGAAGGACTGAAGTACACTGCTGAGGGGAGCAGTGGGCGGCAGGAGAGGTCTGCGCGCCATGTGGGACCCTCCTCCAGTGGCCGGGGAGCAGCCGGGGATCAAACCGGCGCTGCAGAGGTTGCGGCCAGCTTCGCAACCCGGCGCTCAACCGCTGCGCCACCGGGGAGGCCCTCCCTAATTTTTTTTTAAATGAAGGACTGTAGCTACAATCTTATGTCAGACCTGTTGTAGGAGGGCAATAGTGTTCAAATTTTCTTCATGTATGGGATCACAACTATTCCACATGACACTTCACTTGACTTAGAAAAAGGTGGCCCATCTGAACATACCATCAACATCCAGGAGATTTGGATGACAGTGACACACCAGATCACTGGACTGATGGACGGTTCAGGGAATAGGAGAACATTTGATGAAACATAACCCTTTTCTTTGAGGGATAAATTGTGGACGATGAGCAAAGCCTGGGTTAAACATTTGTACTCTGCCCCTTGCTGGTACCTTTATGCAGTGCACAGCCTGGGTGGTAAAAGCTGATACGTGCAAGTTGTTGATTAAGGATAGACTGAAAACACATATTAGTATTTATTATTGGGCAACAATAGTTGATTAAAATCTCCTGGATGTTGAGTGTTTGAGACTAAGGTGAAAGGAAAAGGAAAGTTCCTCGAGGATTATTACTAATGCCCTCATGTAAGATAGAGTGAAATTGTTCTACTCACAATGGTATTTTTGGAGATTGGAGCAGTAACTTTCAAATAGCATTTATGAAAAATAAAACCAGAAAAAGCACCACAGCTTCATGTAGCAAGCAGAGGAATGAGTAAACTGAGATTTTTATAGTAGGAGTAATTTATGTTTCAGATTCTGACATGCTTTGCCTCACATTTTGTCTCAGATTAAGACTGTTGGCTTCTTGCAGTGGGAAATGTTTGGGAGTTTGTGTGTCAGCTCATGATTCCTTAAAGTTATCTGTCAAGATCTTCCTTGAAGTTTATATCATGTCTTGATTCATTTGGCTGTATTACAAAGCAAAATATATAAAATGGATGATAATGGAGAATGATAAAAATGTTTTATTTTTTAAAAATAAAAAGAAACCCATAAACCTTTATCCAACTTCCTAAATATGTATTATGTTATCATATATTAATAGATATTTAAGAACTGATATTTGTGTGTGTGTTTTCTGTTCTCTTTAAATTTCTTTTTTCCCAATGATTTATTTATTTATGTATATAAGAACTGGGGTACAGGCCAGAGGTGTGGGGGGTAAAAGGATTCACCAGAGACAGAGTGGGGTACAAGAACAGACAGATTGACTGAAATACAGTGCTGAGGGAAGCAGTGGGTGATTCAGGAGAGGTCTGCTGCACCATGTTGGTATCTCCCTGGCTGGGGATCGAACTCGTGATGCAGTGGCTGCGGAAAGCTTCATAGGTTGTGTCTTAACCCCTTGTGCCACCAGGGAGGCCCTCTTTAAATTTCTTAATCTGGGCTTTTGCTCCCTAAATTGTATCTACTTTGATTTGCCATCAGATGGGTAGATGCCAAGAACTAATTCCTCAAAGAATTGTGAATTAAATGCATTATAGCTTCTGGTAGGCACAACCAAATTCCAAGCAACAGATGTTCATTAAAAACCAGTACCAATTATTTTAAAAGCCATTTTGAGAAATTAAAATGCTGCTTTAATGTGCTGAGTTAAATGATAAAATTAGCTTTTACAAAAATTAAAAAAATTTAAATTATTTTGAATACAAACAATAGCAAAGCACAAGTTGCCCATTAGTTACTTAATCATAGCAACCATTGCTCAAGACTTGGAACCTTCCTGAAGGAATGCATTCAATTTACTGCTATTCTACACGCACAATTACTAATTCATTGTTGTCACTCATTTAACAATTTAGGTTGTAGATTCCTAGCAGATAATGGCCTTGATTATATTGATGAAAATACTTTTTAAAATCCAACCCTCAAATTTAGGAATGTCATCTCTTACTAGGGAAATTCCAGTCCTATGTAATCCCTCTGTCTATTTTTCTGTTGGGAGAAATAATGATCAAATTTTGACTTTCGTAATACCTTCTGCATCCTGAGCAAGCTCCTTAATGAATTTTCCTAAAGAGTCTGCTCTCTTGTTGGTCCTCTCAGCATCCTGTCCAGTCTGCTCACCATCTGCTGTCACTTTGGTAGCCTGATGATCCAAAGTAGGAAAGCATAATTAATACAGATGATGAAGCTGCCATTAGATAAGCACCTAGTGGCTATATTTTCTTCCAAATAATACTTTGTGCCAAAGGCAATCGATGAATTATTGATTAAGTGTACTGGAAATGACACCCTGTACTCAAGTACACAATTAAACTTTATTACCTCTTCCATTAAATAGTAATCAGAGAACTGTACTTGGTCTTTTAAAAATCCCCTTTTTATACAATGCCAAAGAGATGTAATAAAGCATATTTTTGAAATATCTTTAAGGTACTGTTGCCAAAAGTCTTTAATGGATTCATCAGCCTCCACATATTGTGGTTTTCCCTATATTTTATTTACCGAAAAGTGTGGAGTGTAGCAATGATCTCTTGAATGAGACACAGGCAGTCTGTCTCAATAAGGCTGATCTTATAGATTTGGTTTAGAGCAATATGTTAATTAAGAAAACAAGAAAGGGGTAATATTTAGCTATGAAATAGTAAATGCTTGTTTTATAACACTCTAAAGATGTCAGTAAGACATTAAGGAGGAATAAGTGCTTAGTTTTCCAATATAACATAACCAGAAATGATGGCTATTAATCACAGAACCATGCATTATTGTCAACAAAATAAAACAGAACTCCCAACAGCATACTTCCTCAGTGACCTCATGTGCATTATCCTTGATTCACATCGAAAATAATATTGACACAACAGAATCTATTTAATGTGTTCATAGTTAAGATATACCACATTTAGTCAAATAAAAATGGAACATCTAATGAAAGTTACTTAAAAGGCATTATAGTCAGACCACCTTGAAACAGGTTTATACTTCTTTTTCCTACGTGCATATATATGCTAGTAAATATGACTTCTTTTTCACTGAAAAGAGGGATAATCTACAGATAATGACTCAAAGAATCACAAACTGCCTCAATATAATTTCAACGAGGACCAAGTTGGTGGAGCAATGATATTCTGTAATCTCATACCAGGGTACTTGCATTCTAGATGTACCTAGAGAATCTCATTTTTTGTAATACATAAGTGAATTTTAAATAGAACTTAAAATAGACTAAATGTCCAACTAGCGCAGAATGTAGTAAGAGATGTTTTAGGAGTTGTACTGCATTTTGTGATTTCCCAGGGGCAGTCGAGGTTTAATCCATGAAAAATTTCACATTTTTTGCATAAAAGGTACAATATGACATCCAACTATTATCATCTTGTTTTTCAACCTACAAGCATTACCTTCACAAATAAAAGAATGAAAGGATAAGAATTCATTGGGAGTTTAAAAATTCTCCCCTGCAGCTTGTAGGATATATACCCAATGGATTTGGAGCGTGTTAATATATTAGAATGTTCTGGATTAACTTCTCTAAAATATTAATTATAGAATCATTTTTATTTTTATATTTGAGGCTCAGATGGGTCAGTTAACCATTTATACAAACATGCTACACGCACACACACACAGACACAATTTGTTTTAGCGTTGCTTTTGAATTACTAAAGTCAACTGCTCAAGACACTGGTCTCTGAACTGCTTTAGATTTTTATCTAGACTTGACTATAGGATATCACTCCTATTTTCACATATCACAGTACTCTATAAGGGACTTGATCTACCTTATGGCTATTTTTCAATGCCTTCTTATAAGAATTAATGTATCATTGCCACCAGTATCTTCTTATACCAAAAAAACCACATTATAATTTGAACTTAAATTTTACTTCTTGCTTTACAATATCAATCTCACCAAAACATAATGATTTACATTAATTTTCACACCATCAATCTTACCATTTCTTGCTAATAGCTGAAAGCCCATAGTTTAAAAAAAATAAATGTATACTACTGTACTCTCCCTTTTAAATCTGGATGATCAAGATAGTATTCACTGCTTTGACTTCTACTTACCTAATTAATTTATGCAGTAACATGTAAGAGCCATTATTAGCAAGCGTTTGACTCAGTACTGATTATATGAAAACGCCAACATTAACACATCAATAATTCTGCATGCCCCATGATAAGAAGTTAAAAAGGTGATCACTAAGATCCTGGGCAATCAGCCTCCCTGGCTTCCTTCTAGTGTCTGAAATATATCCATTCTCCCTTTTTTAGGGTCTTTTTATATTCTGTTATCTTTGCCTGGAATGAGCTTCTCAACATTTTCAGTGACTGGGCCTTGTCTTCCATCAATGTTCATTTAATAAGTATCTCTTCTTAGTGTGGCACTTCCAGCACACCTATCCAGCTGCCACACTTCCTGCAACAGGACATTTCCTTACTGCCATCTTGCATTTTAGAATCACTGATTTATGTGTCGGCCTACATTTAATTGACTGTCTCCTAGACTAACAGACAAGGTCTAAGAGGGCAGAAAATTGGTTTGCTTTGCTCATCACTTTATAGCCAACTCCTGATATGATGCCTAACTTACAGAAAATACTGAATGAAAGCATCCTGTAGGGGTGGAGAAGGGAGACGTGTCAGAGGGAAGGAGGGAGTGAGGAGCACAGTGATGGTACATGGGTACATTGGTGAAAGAAATACTATGGGGACTACACTGAGTGGGGGGGTGGGGTGGGGGTGGAAAGCAAATATTGTTTCAAAATGAACAATGATGTAAAAAAAAAAGCTGTTAACTATATGACTAAACAGAAAATTTCCTAATTAATCTTGCCAACTTTAATTCCATCCCCATTGCTTACCCTTCTTTGAATAGTCCCAGGAAAAGCTTTTGTTCATAACCACAATAATTCCAGCCTCTGGGATTCAGGTCTAATCCCACCTTCTCTGTGACATCATCTCCCTATTTTAGCAAATGTTCTGCTGTCTTAGATTTTCAAAAGCAACTATCATTACCACCATTCAGGACTATAATGTGTGATTGATTTGCTCAGTGTTTACTTATATCTTTCTAATCACCATCTTTGGAGGCTGGAGCTGTCTTAACCCTTTATATTCCTCAGAGTTCCAGGCACAGGGCTGGCTAATTGTAGGGGGTCAAAGATGTTGGGTGATTGGCTGATACAATGGTAATTAAACCAACTATCCTTTTGAAGTTCTAAAGCCTGTTGGAGGAAATAAATCTCTCTCCATATGCCTTCCCAGTACCATTCAAAGTGGCCATATGCCTGGTGCTAAACTTGCCAGTGAAGGTGGACAGCTGGGTAGTTTTCTGGGTGTTTTTCTGGGTCTCATAGGAAACTGCTGCTCAAGAGCTGCAGCTGAGAGCTTAGGAAGAAAGCCAAGGCTGAGAGCGTCCAGTCCCAGCCACACTGCATCCCAGTCACTAGCCTCATTGCATTCAAAACTAGCCTGCAATTGCACACCAAGTATAGTGCGGGGGGGGGGCAGGATGGGAGTTTGGGGGGGCAGAAATCTTTGAGGGTCATTGTAATACTTGCTGAAGAAGGAGACGGCCTTCTCTCTGCACAGCAAGAAGAGCTCCCTCTCTTGGCTCTGCACTCTAAGCAAGGGGATGTGAGGTTTCTGGCAGGTAAAGGCACTGACTCATGGTATTGGCACTCTAAAAGATGGGGTACACACACAGGGCTGCTAGATTGATACATGTGCTCAGAGGTCTTACAACACTCTTGTGTCTCATTTAGAATTCCTGCCTTTAGAGATTTGTGCAGGGCATGAGACCTATTTTTACACAGTTGAAAATCAAGTTATGGTGAGGTTCAGTAACTTTTCTGAACTCACACACACATAAGGTATTAAGAACAAAGCACAAATTTTGCCTCTCACAGATTTATATTCTATCTGCACCAAATACCAACTTTTATTTGGTTGACATCCAGGGAGAGGAGGAAAAGATTTAAAAAAAAGTTGAGCATTCTGATGGGAGGGGGGATGTTGCGCTAGCTGATGTCGTATTTAAAATGTATAAGGGCTGGGTTTTGGCAAATTAACATACTTTAAAATCCACATCAGAAAGTTGTAAGGGTATATTTTTTGAAACTATGTCTCATTACACAGTAATTGAGTTGAAGAACTGCCCTTGTCAAAACCTCCCATGAGAACCTCCATGAAAGAAACCTGTGACAAATGTACTGTCACCTGTGGGGAGTAGTGACAGTGGCATCACTGTAAAAGCAAAATTCACAAAAGTCTGTTTCACCCAAGACAGGCTACTGATAATGCTATAGATGAATGCTAAATACTACATAATGAGGGCTGTGTGTCTGATTTGGTTTGGCTCTTTTTGTATTTTATTGAATTATCATCTTCGTCCCTTAGCCGCCTTCCCTCTTACTCACTATTATCTTATCCTTTGAGTATTTGACAAATGTCTTCTCATTTATCCTAATATGTTGGACAATCTTCCTTTTATTCTCTATCTTTGATTTTCCTATTTTTACATCCTCTTATCTCTGTTCTGCAGTTTTTCCAGTGTTCCTTTGTAAATGATTCCTTACACGGTACCTTATGTGTATCTCTTTTACCTTTGATTACCATTTTTTTTTACATTCAAGCACACCCAACTAGTTAATATTTTCCTTTTATTTTTCTTCCTTTTCCCCTCATTTTTAAAAAGAGAGTATTTATATCTAGGCAGCATGCATTATCATTAGACACACATTAATTTTCTTCTGAACAATGTAGCTGTTACTTTTTTGCTTTTGCTCAAGCAGTTCTCACTGTGCCTCCTGAAATGTGCACATAATTTTCTTGGTTGGATATTACTAGTGTCTTTTATTTCTGTCTTCTTATGTTAAAACTAGACTCTAATGGAACAAATCTAACTATTGAATAGACAATGTTGCTTAGATGCTACCCACCTTTGCATTTGCAGACTTATATGGTTTCTTGCTAAAATTAAAGTTCAGATCTAATCATTTATATGATATCCTTGAGGGTCATCTTCAAACACTACCAGTTCTGTATATCTAAGTGTCAGCAAAGTATTCTTCAGGCAGGCTACTAGGACAGATGACACACAAGAGCCAGAGAGCAGCCAGTGATCCTCTGGAATGA